CTTTAAATATAAAACTTATATTTCTTTAAGTTTACTTATAGGCCTACTTTATATAAATATTTAAGTATAATAGTAATATACTAGATATATTTATCTTTTATTTTAAAGTAAATAATAATATTATTAATATATATATAATAAAACTAGTTAAGGTACTCTTAAAATATATTATTAATATACTACTAAAAGGTAAATAGGCTATTAAATAAACTAAATAGTATAACTTTATATTTAAATAACCTTTATTTTATATAAAAAGTTATTATATAATTAGTTTCCTTTATAAGGTATATTTTATAAAAAATTTAGTAGATATTAATTTTTATAAAAATATTAGTTTAATTAAATTAGTTTAATATTTTATTTATTTATAGGATTAAATTATAATCTTTTTTAATAATAATATTAAGCTTTTTAAAATTTATATAAAATTAAAGGCCACTATTAGGTTTAGTAGCTATAAGGATAAATAACGCTTAAAGCGTAACTATAAGCTTAATAAACCCTTTTTATAGGTTTTTAGTAATATATACTTTAACTACTTTAACCTCCTTAAATAATATTTTATAGAGGGGCTTATATTTAATTGTAGATATAAGATTTATTCTAGGTAGTAATTTAATTTTTAAATTATATAACTAGTATATAGTTAAGTAGTTTAAGTCTACCTTATTAAAAGTTTATAATAAGTAATAATACTATTTTAATACTTTTATTAAAGCCTTTTAATATAACTTTTTATTATTATAAAGTATATCTTTAATTATATTAGCTTACTTATTATAAATATATTAATTAATCTTGTAAAGAGATATAATAAAAGTAGGTAAGTTCTTATAATTAGTTAAGGTAAAAAGAGTCTCTATTTAAACCTTATTAATCTCCACCTTATAATACTTTACCTAACTAATATCTTTCTTATATAATATATATATACTACTAGCATTATAACCACTTAAATAATCCTAATTGTTCTAATAGTCCTATTATTACTATTAACAAGCTTTTTATTTCCTAAGGGATAGTATAAATATAGGTACTAAAGGGGGTTAAAAGGGACGGCTATATAGGGCATCCTCTATCTTTCTTAAGTTCTTATTAGAAAAAAAGCTAAATAAAACTCCACTAAATATCATCTACCTAGCAATATAGAGTACCCTATTTATAAATAATAACTCTAGGTCCTATAGCCTTTTATATATAACCTTAACTATTAACTTTAATAGTTCTTTTTAAAATAGGGGTAAAGGTATTAAAATAGGTACTTTATTTCTAAAAGTTATCTTTTTATATTAAATATTAAGGATTATATTATAATTATATATCTATTAGTGCCTAATAATTATTTTATAATATATATTTATTACTATTATAGGTAGTTAAGAATAGTAATATTTGTTAATAATTAAATTGGTAATTAGGATAGTATTAATTTTCTAAAATATTTACCTTTTAAATCCACTAATTAAGTATAGTTAAAATTTTAAAATGTATTTAGTATTAAGGGTTTAAATTAACTTTAATATAAAGTTTATATTAATAAAAATTATTTTATTTATTTTTATATTTATAAGTCCTTTTATATTTATATTATTTTATTATTAGTTATTATATAAAATGCTATTTATAACTTTCTATTAACTATATAAGTAAAAAGTTATATAAAATATTTATAAGTAAGCTTAGTTTTTCTTTATTAATATAAACCTTATTTAAAAATATATATATATCCTTTAAAAGAAAGTTTACTTATTTTAAAATTATTAGTTTTTAAATTAAATTATTTATTAAATAGGTTATTTAATTTAATTAAATTAAATAAAAGCTTATTATAAAGTGCCTTAATTTAAATAATATAGTTATAATAATTAATTTTATAATTATAGTTATAAGTATTACTATTAGAGTAATAATTTAGGTTTTTAAAATAGTTAATACTTATATATTCTATCTTTTATAATAAAAATAAATACTTTTAGTAAAAGCTTAATTAGCTTATCTTTTATTAAGCTATTTTATTTAATATAATTATAAGTAGAAGGGCTATTATTATTAGTTTAGTTTCTACTAGTATTACTAGTATCTTTAGTATTATATTTAAAGTTACTACTATTATAGTTATTGTTTTACCTCTTTCTTTACTATTTAAATTATTATAGTTAAAGTTTTATTTATTATTTTATTTACTATTATTAATATTATTATTAAGGGTTTTACTTTATATAGTTAATTAGTAAGTTGTTAATTCTAGTTAATTATTTATACCTAAATATAATAATTTTTAAAAGTAATATTTATATTTTAAGTTTAAGAAAAAGGAGATTATATAGGTAAAAGTTAGGGTAAGCTTCTTATATATCTTATTTTTTTATTTATTTTTAGAAAGTTAATGTATATTAGTTAGCTAAATAAAGTTATTATAGAAGGTAAAGAATTTATTATTAGACTTTATAGCTAAAATATTAAAGTTAATTTTATTTATAACTTTTTATTAAAATTACTATATTTATTCTTTAATTAAGTAAGAAAAGCCTTTATTATAAAGATATAATTAGGGTAATTAGGCTTAAAGAAAATCCTATAATATTAGTAATAGTATTATATATCTAGTTCTTAATTATTATTACTTTATTATATTTATTAGAATAGTGGTCTATATTTATATTTAACTTATTTTAGAGTTAATACTTTTATACTTTAAAGTTTAATTTATTTTTAGTTTTATTATTATATTAAATAGGTGGAGGGTCTATTTTAATAGAGCGCTTTTATTGGGTGGGGGTGGGGTTTTACTAAATATTAGTAGGGTTAATAGTTTATATATACAACTTAATATTCTTAAGTTAAAGTATATAAACTTCCTCCTATAGATTTATTTTTATAGAATTAACTTAGTTAGCCTTATTAATCTTATTTAATTATTATTAGAGGTTAGTAATTATATTTTAATTCTTTATACTTTAATAAATTAAAATAGCTATATATTCCTTAATAATATTATAATCTTTAATTTTTACTTTTAGGTTTATAATAAGTTTATTATATTTATTAATAGTTAATTTAAATTAGCCTTATAGATAATTAAGGGTAGAGGTAGTTTATATATTACCCTTTAATGCCTATAAATAGGAAGTAAGCTTTTTTATAAGTTAGATAAAGTATTCTATCTACTCCTTAATATAGAATAGGTTTGTATTAACTTTTTAGAATAATAATGCTATTTTAGTGGCCTAGATAAAGGAAGTCTAAACTTATAGTTTTAAGGAGTAAAACTTATTAAATATTATTTTTTAATTCTATTATATAAATTTAAGGAATATTATTTATAAAATTAGTTTAAATATAGAAAAAATTTACTAACCTTTTTCTATTAGAAAGGTTTAAGGTATATAAGTGAAATAAGTTACTTTAAGCTATTTAATTTTATTAGTAAGGTTTTTTTTAAGTATTAGATTATTAATAAAAGACTAATTTAAGAGAGAATTAGCTATGTGCTACTTAGCTATAAGTACGCTAATATAGTTGATTAGTTTTTGAATTTTATTACTTTTAATATTAATATTAGTATTATCTTTAAGGGTTTAGCTAGTTATAAAGGCTGTACTAAATAAGGAGGCTTGCTTATTTTTAAGTAAAAGTTAGTTTAGGTAGGTTAATAGGACCTTTTTAAAGTTAGGTAGGATTTACTTAAATTAGTTAATGCTAAATTAAATTCGTTAATATAGGTTAGGTATTAAAGTATTTTAAAAGATAACTTTATTATTCTTGTTATTAATATCTTTAAATTTATTATTATCTTTATTATTATCCTTAATATTTATAAGGGTATTAGTCTTCTTATTTGGGGTCCCTTAGGCTTTCTTATCTATAGGGTTAACGGTTTTATAGGTTATTATAGTTGGTTGATTGGGGAAAATAAAGGTTTAATTAAGATGAATATTTTTATAGTTTTTTTAAGTTGTAAGGTTAAGTAGTTTTGAATTAAGATGGTCTTTATAACCTATAATAAAAGAAGGCTTAAATTATCTATAAAGAATTGTTGATTTAAAACTAGAGTTATTTAAGGAATAGTATAGAGGAGGTAGTGAAGCTATAATCTTGTGTTGTAAGAGGTATAGAGGCCACTTAGACTGATAAGATAAGTAGAGTATATAGACCCACTGGTTAGTCCTGTAGGCATTTAGCCTATAGTTCTAATATTAGGAATATAAATTAATAGATTATACTATTATATTATATAGTTACTTTTAAATTATTATTTATAAAAAAAAATTTTTATATATAAAGTTAATTTTAACTTTATATAAAATTTTATATTTATTTAAATAAATTATTAAAAATAATTAAATTTAATTTAATTATAATTTTATTATTTATTTAAATAATTATATAAAGAAATATATATATTTAAAATTAAATAGTTTTTAAATAAATAAATTATAAAACTCTACTTTTTTAATATATAAAAGTTTAAAATTTAAATTAAAATAAAAATAAAATTATATTTTAATTTTTATATTTATTTAATATTATTTATTTAAATTAAATTAAAATATAATATTTTTAATAAATATTTTTAAATAAAAATTTTAGAAATATTTTATTATTTTGAGAAAATTAATTAAAAATAATAATTAATTTTTAAAAAAATTTAAAAATATTTTTTAATATTTAAATTATATTATATATTTAATATTTAATAAAATAAAATTTAATAAAAATAAACCTACTTTTTTTAATTAAACTAAAAACTAAAAACTAATTGATTAATTAGTTTAGTCTTTAATTATAATTACTAACTAAAAAAAGATTTAGTTATTATTTCCTTAACTAAAAGTCTTTAGTCTTAGTTAAGGCCTGTAACTAAACTAATTCAGACTAATTTCAACCCTGCGTCAAACCACGTGAGCAGTCCCTCTCAACTCGCTCTCTCATGATTGCATCGCCTCCGTGGCACGACTTTCAACAAATGAGACCGTCGTCAACAAAGGACTGCTTCGATGGCGACTTCTGACGACCACGCCATGGACGACACCGGCCCGCAAGACGAGGCGCAGAGGACGTCACTCGGCCAAGCCACGAGCTACGATACCTTCCATCGCTATCGTCGCCTCCCCCTCGAGCTGCGAGCGATGATACGTGCCTTTGCGATTGAAAGCGCGAGATCACGGTGGCCAGGATATCTTACGAACCACAAGGATCCCTTGCCCTGCTCCCGCTTGGCTTCCATCTCTGAGGAGTGGCAGGATGACGTCGAAAAGGCGCTTTTCAGCAAGATTCAAATTGATCCTCTCGATGAAGACGATATCTTAGACTTCGCGAAAAACTTCACCGAGAGGAGAAAAAAATACCTCACACAGCTTGAAGTTGTTATGGAGGACGAGGAGTCGGGATTTTGGCAAACGAACACGGGCCCCCTTGATCTCAGCCGATGCATGGAGAAGACTGGACAGCTTCTCCAGCAACTGACTGGTTGGAACTTCAGCGATGACAATAGGCAGCGCTCGATCGCTGTAATCTTCACATCACGATATTTGGCTATTCGGCGTCACAGAGAAAAAGACGAGGATCCCTTAATAAACACAGTATCTCTCTGGGACCCATTTCAACTGTCGGCATTAACCGAGAATCGCATACCCACCAACGTCGCCTTGTGGGCCATCAAGTCAGAGTTTCCAACACCTTTGAACATGATAACGCACCTCACTCTCGTCCCCGACTGCATGCCCATTGCTGCCGCAAAGACAATCATCCAAACCATGCCAAACTTGGAATCATGCAACTTTGGGATCGCCTTTGAATGTACTGTCGAGGAAGCGTGGAGAGACTTTACCGGTTAGACTCCCCCTGCTTCCCGCATGATGGATGGCTGCAACTCACACCTGTTAGATTTCATTCATGAACTACGGGTCTCTGCGCCCTCCCTCCGCAAACTCACAATACACAACTCGAGCTATATATATCTCGGTGACCGCATCCCGGACAGCGTGGTAGAATTCGCTGCCGCCCTGCGAGAGCTGAGCCAAAGCCTCAAGTCCCTGCACACCCCACAGTGGCCTGCTAGAATACATGAAGCATTCTTCTCCCCATTCTATGAGAACTCCCATGCCGGCGCCGACTCGGCTGCCTCTGGATCGCCCTGCACGTGGCCAAACCTGCAACATCTTACCCTGAACGGCAACGGTGGCTTTTACACAGGGGGTAGGGGCCACCCCACATCTAGTGCGGTCGATATGCTCATCGCTGCGGCAAAGGCCTCTCGGCTATGCCGAGTCTCAAGTCCATCAAGATCAGAACGTCGGGGAACGCGTTCCTCGATTTCGACCGAGAGAATTACAAGCTCGGTCTTGCGAATTTCAGCCAGGGTGAACAAGGGAGACTACTGGGGGCTTACGCTCCCTACACTGGGGCTGTGGCGGTGCGGGTCGCGGAGGTCCGTAGAGGGGACTGGTATATTATGACATACTTCAAGTGGAAATATATTTAAATAACAGGCTGAGCCCAAGGGGGTAACCCTCGAGACGAAAAAATGGTTGTCTTGGAACACAGGAGGCAGTTCAATAGAAGGCTGGTAGGGCGTGCTTCGTCGGGCTAGGAGGGCTGGCCGCACAGCGGGCGCAGGCGTTCGAGTAGAGTTTTCGACGTTAGAAGTAGATTGCATTTCTCCCCAATTGATGATTCACGGGACCAGAAATACTGTTTTTGTTGGACCAAGAGATTTTCCATGGACTTGGCAGACATGGGGATTGTTAAAACACCAACCTGCTCCCCGAGGCCTGCTTGAGTCTGCTGACGCCAAGCCACGAATGACAACATCACCATCTCCCACTCGCTCACCGGTGCTTAGGAATGCATCTCCGGCTGAAAGTCATGAGTCAATCCCGACTCGACTTGGAATCCTTGACGCCGTGCTGCAGGGTCAAAAGATGACCCACCCAGTCCAGCTCGGGACCAGATAATAATGGTCTAATGTTCTGTTCTGTCGGCTGTCTATGATCGTCAGTGCCAGCTCCCGCTTGCTAAAGAGCACACACTTGAAATGTGGCAGGTCCCCGTCCACTCCGGCCGACCTGTGGTCCTGCCTCATGGTGATGTCGGTCATATAGGGGAGATCCGAATCCGCCGGGGGGGGGGGTCCGTATTTGCTACGGCGCCCACGGCTGTGTCAATGATGTTGATGATGTCGCGGCCATTACCACCCTCCACGTGACGTTGCGCAACCGCATCAGAGTCGGCGGGAGGGGATGGGGTCTCTGGCACTGTCGAGATGACGATTCTCTGGAAGAACCATGGAGCTCGGGGCTGGTTGGGCGGTGTGGCAGGGGATGAAGCTGCAGTCAATAAGAACAGTTGCTAGCACTCCGTCCGTCCATTGGACACAATCACCTTGACACATGGGGCTTGCTTTTCATTTTTCATGTATTTGTACGGCGTATCTCAAAGCCTAACGATGCATCACTAGCATGAATTTTTCCTTCCCGCTTTTCTTCCCTATTCATGAACCTTCCCTTCCCCCTCCCCTCCTGCGACAGGACCTCCTCGTCCGTCCCTCCGTGACCTTCCATCGCCCCCAATTTACAACTCCTTCACCTCCCAGCACCTTTCCATCTAAGCCACCATTTCCGTCATTTAAATTTCCCAGCAGAGAATACCACCTAGCCCAGCAAACCCCAAGGCTGACCCGGCACAGCCATTTTCTTTGGGTCGTCCCCATCGATACTGCGGAGTGAACTCGACGAAGCATCGGATGAGTGGTCGACCAAGTCTTGCGGTGGTTGGTGAGCGAGATCTGGGAGGTGTGTCGTACTCGAGGCCGTGGAGTGAACTCGACACGACCTCGGAGTAGCCCGGACTGAAGGCCTTGGAGTGAACTCGACAAGACCAAGCAGTGTGAGGGGGGTGTTTTCCCGGCAGGGACTGGGACCTCTGGCGCTTCACCCCTGGGGGATCAGCCGAGTAGGTCGGGCCTGCGGTGGGGCCACGCGGTTCGGAGACGCGGATGCTGCCGGGGGAAGTTGTTGGTGTGGGTGGAGGGGAATGCTGTGCGCAGGTGGTATTTCTGGGCTGGGTGGTTCAAATGTGTCCTGATGCTCTGGATGATTGGTGAGCGCTGGATGAAAAGGCCAGGAAACGACGGCAGCCGACCGGCTAGGCGACATCTGCTTGGGCACTGGTAAGCCACTTCTTCGTCTCGTCGATGAGGAAGTTGTACCTCTCGCCCAGGGCCCGCATGTCCGTCTTGTCCGTGTCCATCATGGCGGCATGGAAGACCTTCCGCAGCCACGCGCCCATCAGCCGCTCCATGTCGTTCCTGCTGTACCCTCTCACGCCGCCGGGCAGCCTCAGGTCGGCCCGCAGCTGGTCGGTGGACAGGCGCGGGTCGGTGTTCTTTGTGTCGATGTTGTGGTGCCATTCCTTGTTCCACCTCAGCCTGGTCTGGGCGTCGCGGTTGGGCTGGCCGATCATGGTGGAAAAGTCCATGTTGGCCGCGCACACGGAACGCTTCCACTGTTCGTAGAAGTCCAGGGAGAACTTGGTGTTCCGGACCCCCTGCTGGATAGGCTGCTGCGACTGCGTTGGTTGCTGTGGCTTGTAAACAGCCTTCTGCGGCTGCTGGACAGGATACTGTGGCTTCGAGGTCTGCTTTGGCTGCTTCAGCTTCTGCCCGGGCTGCTGGATCTTCTGCCCAGGAAGCTCTGGCTGCTTTGCCTGCTCAGGCTGCTGTGGCTTCTGGGAAGGCTGCTGCTGCTTTGGCTGAGCAGCGGGAGGAGCCTGGGCCGCAGCAGGAGGAGGCTGAGCGGCAGCAGGACGAGAAGCAGCAGAGGGCTGAGCAGCAGATGGCTGAGGAGCGGGACGAGGAGCGGGACGAGGAGCAGCAGATGGCTTCGCAGGGGCAGCTGCAGGGGCAGGAGTAGGAGCAGGAGCAGGCTGGCTGCCCATGTCCATCTCAACATCCTCGTCCTCCACGGTGATGTCCATCTCATCTTCCTCATCCTCCACGTAAGCCTGGAACCTCGCATGAGACTTCGCGATGGGGACGGGGTCGGGGATGGGGCTCGAAGCAGCTGGAGCCGGAGTCGGAGCCGGAGTCGGAGCCTGCTCAGGGGTGGTGGCAGGCTTGTTCGACCGCGGCTTGATCATAGGCCTCCCCTGCTCGTTGCACTCCTGGCCCGGCTTGGTCACGGGGGGGAGCTGGCCGTTGATCATCATCCTCTCGAACCCGGCGCCCAAGTTCGACGCGGAGCTGACCGGGGCCGCGCTGACTGGGGGCAGACCCGGCATGCTGAAGTCGAAGGCACCCTCTGGGGCCATCGACGGGGTTGCAGCGGGCTCCTTCGGTGGAGACTTGAAGTCAAACCGGAGAGACGATGATGCCGGGTTGGCGACTGGGGCAGGGGGGCTGGTGATCTTCCCGAAGATCGAGGGGGTGCTGCCCTGAGGCGAGGCGACGCTGTCGGGCTCGTCGGCCGAAGTCATCCCGTCGTCGGAAGCGCCAGCATCGGCAGCGGGCGGCTGGTCGAGGTCGGCGAAGCTGAAGTCGCCAAGCTTGGCCCCCCAGTTGATGTTGGAGTCGCCCTTGGGAGGCTGAGGACGGCTGCCAAAGATGGAGAAGGGACCCGACGCCGCCGCAGCAGGAGCCTTGGCCTCAGGCTCGGGCTCGGGCTCTGTCGAGGCTCCAGGAGAGTCAGCAAGATCCTCCTCGTCGTCGAAGGACAGCTTTGGCATCTTGGGAGGCTGGGTATTAATCCTTCCAAAGATGGAAAAGGGACCAGCCGCGGAAGCAGAAGCCTTGGGCTCTGGCTTGGGCTCTGTCAAGTCGTCAGGAGAGCCAGAACGATCCTTCCAGGGGGAGCACGACGCCGGCATCTTTGGAGGCGGAGGGAGAGGATCCCGGTTGAAGATCGGGGCCGACTCCTTCTTGGGTGCCTCGCCCCTCTTGTCGTCGTCGTCGTCGTCGTCGTCGTCGTCAGAGTTGTCAGGGGTCTCATTGCTGCCCTCGGGAGGAGGGGATGGAGAGGGGGTAGGGGGCCTGCTTCCCTGGGGCGGCTGTGGAGGCTGCTGCTCGTCGTTCTCGGGGCCGGTGGAGTTCTGGCCGCTGCTGTTGGTGCTCTGAAGGAGCTGCTCGAGGCGTGCGAGCCTGTCGTTCTGCTCCTCCTGCTCTGTGGCGAGGGCCTCGAACTTGCGCTCATGAGCGGCAATGCGCTCCTCCTGCTCCTCGATCTTCTTCCCCTGCTCCTCGAGCTTCTTGTCTTGTGCCAGGAGCCTCTGCTCCTGGGCCTCGGCCTTGTTCTCAAGCACCGCCTGGCTGTCGCGGAGCTGCTTGGTCTCGGTCTTGAGGTTCTGGATCTCCTCGTCCTGCTTGGCAGCCGCCTCGGCGACAGCAGCATGAGCCTCGTTCTTGATGGCTTTCTTCATCGCGGTGACTTCCTCGCCAAAGGCGGTCTCGGCCTCTTTCATAGCCTCATCGAACTGGTTCTGGACAGACTGCTTCATGTCGTTGACCTGCTTCTGGGTGGACTCCTTGATCTTCTTGACCTCTGCCATGGCCTCATTGACCTGCTTCTGCGTGGCCTCCTTGATGGCCTTGACCTGACCCTGGGCGGCCTCCTTGATACCCTCAAACTCCTCGGCGAAGGTCTTCTTGGAGGCCTGGATGGCGGAGGCGACGGCGGCGGCGACGGCCTTGGCTACGGCGTCTTCCGCGGTGGCCTGCACGAACCGCCTCAGGTTCTTGGGCTTGGCCATGCGCTGGAGCTTTGCGATCTGGGTGTCGTGGGTGATGAGCCTCTCGTCGATCGAGCCAATGTGCTCCACGAGATGGGGAATCATGCCATTGAGAGAGTCGCAGAACTCCCACATCTCCTTGTGACGAGGATTGTGGGCCTCGAGCTGGGCGATGCGGTCCTCGTGTCTGCCGGCCGCCTTGAGGATGGTGTCGATGGCATCCTGGTCCCAGCCGCAGCAGTTCTCACGAGGCTCCTCGGCGGCGGCGGCGGCGGCGGCGGCAGAGGCAGCAGCAGCATCGGCCTTGTCGGTAAGGGCCTTGAACTTGCCGTCGTACTCGCCAAACTTGTCCTCCATCTCCTTCCCCGCCCACTGGCAGAACTTCCACATCATCTGGATGTCGACCTCGCCCTTCTTGGGGTGCCAGAGGCGCTGGTCGATCTTCTCGATGTCGGCATGCACCAGCTTCATCTCACACTTGAGGGTCTGCACCTGGCCCTTGACGTCCTCGAAGTCCTTGCAGTGGTGGCAGCAGAGCGAGGCAGGCTGGCCCGCGCCGGGGGCGGTCCGCTCGATGACGAAGACGCGGCGGTTGAGCTCGGCGAGGGCCTTGTTCATGTCGGCGTGCTTGTCGGCGTGGTTGTTGGCCTTGCTCTCGAGGTCTGTGATGCGGCGGATGACGGTCGGGAGGCCGTTCTGGACGCTCTTCTCGAAGTAGTGGCTGAAGTTGCTGGTCAGCGTCCTGACTGCGGACGCGATCTTCTGGTCGACCTCGAGCATGATGACGAGCTTCTTGACCTCGCCCTGGTCGCCGATCTCCTGCATGAGGTCGGCGCGGAGGGTTCCGCACTCGTTGGTGATGGCGACCATGTAGGGAGGGGGGTGGGATGTGAGCCACTCCTGTGCGTAGAGCTGGTGCTGGATCTGGTACTTGGCCTCGTCCTTCACCATCTCGTGGATGACGACTTGGAGGGGCTTGGCTGTGGTTGGGAGAGGGGTCAGCGAGTGTCATTCAATCAATCAGTTACCTAGGTGTGTTGTGGTGGTGGGGCATTTTTGTTTGATGTTTTCTACTTACATCCAGTGTTGATGGCATTGATGACGCTGGGCAGGAAACCTGCGGCGAAGACTGCGCCGTTCTTCGCGCTGTTCTTTGCGTATGTCGCGCCGTCTATGACGACGCGAGGCATCTTTGCGAGAGGCATGGTGTGTGTTGAGGTGGTTGTCGCAATGGTCAGGTTAGGTGGGGATGGATGGATGGATTGATTGAAGAAGGTGAGGTGGTGATGTTTGGTTGATTGAGGACTGGTAGGATCGGAGAGGATCGATAGAACAGGTGTGGATGGCAGAGTGGGTTGATACTTAAATGAACAAGATGGAAATTGTGCTGACAGTCAAGGAACACGATGATGATGGTGTTGACAGTCGATGGACAAGATGGAGATTTGGTTGAAGGCTCGACTGGAGTCAAATCTCAGATCTTGTCTGTGGTTGCAGAATGGAAGGGGGGGAAGTTGGAAAGTGGGAGGGGGGAGGGGAGGGTTTAAATACTCTGGAGGACGGCTGCAGCAGCTGCGGACGGTTTGTGTGAATGGACTGGGGATCCACCTTTCTGGTGTTGAGTGAATGACTACGGCGCGCCTCCACGGCAACCGACGACGTATCTGGCGATGGATTGGTCGAAGGTGTCACTGGCAATAGTAACTTTCTCCGTGTTCAGCAGAATAGCGAGAACAATAGCAACAATCCCTATTCAGACCCTCTGCCGTTTATACAGCTGCGCTCCCATTGGTTCATTCTCGACTACTCCAAGGTTCGCCTTCGACCGTCCACCAGGAACGCACTCTCTACGTAGGGGAGCAATCACGTGAATAGCAGAACAATAGGTTCACAATCCGAGAACAATAGGAAGCACCCATTTAGACATCCAATGAGATGCCTCGAATTTCACGGTGCTCGTGAGAAACTGCCCTGGAGTCTAACGGTGGTTCCCTGCCTAGGAGCGACGTTGAGCTTGAGGCTGACAACTTCCCAAAACGGACATGCGCCTCGCTGTTTCTAAGTGGGCCGTTACAGACGGCCCCACAGCGGCCTCCCCCGCGCCAAGCCAGCCCGCCGTCCGTCACGTGCAGCCTCGCGCCCCACACCTCCCTTTTGGACGTCGCTTGGTCGGTCGACGGCAACCAAGTTTATCCGGCCGTACGCCCGCTCGTCCATGGGAATTTGAAAATCGCTGTATTGCCGCCAGGACAAGGAGCTGGCGATGGGCGGTAGGTAGTATGGTCGATGACATCATCGTCGTAGACAGCATTAACCTGATGCCTCCGTCCGCCCAGACACCTCGAACTGGCGAAATGGAGGGCCTAATCTGGAGCGGCGGCTCGTCAGGCAAGTCAGCCATCAAGTTCGCAGTGTATCCAATTGAAATGAACTTCGAGGTCGCCCAAGGCATCCATAATGAGGGCCTTAGCCGATGTCAGCGCAAGCACCGTCTCCCTGCCATCTTGACCTTGGGAGCCCTTGACCACGGCCCATCTCAACAACATGCCAGGACGGCATCAAAGAGCTCATCACCTGAGCTGAACGGACGGAGGCCAGGCTGGAGTAGGACTGCGCCCCGCCATGGCTCGCTCGAAGCCACGCCCCGTCAGGCGGGCAACACCAGCGCCCGTCGCGTCACACAATTGAGAAGTTTACAATCCCATCACACCCCTAGTAGAACTCATTGACCCCATACCCCCCGGAGAGCCTTGTAATTGATTTTCTTCCAACCAGCAGACGTCCCGCTTGGTCGATCGTCGCGGTGGCGGCGGCTTCGGTCTAGATCCGGGTCGGCCCGCCCGCCGATCAGTGGGGCGCCTTTGCCCGCGGCATCATCAGCGCCTCCACCGACGAGGGGACCATATGGAAAGCTTTCGACAGCGGCGGCGGGAGGTTCGAGGAGGTTGACGTCTTGGAGGTGCGGTCTTTGTCAATTCTCACCCGCACGAAATGAAGTCGTTGACAATGGCACTGTTTATTGGTTCTCACCATGGTTCGACGCATATCAAGACCTTCATTGTTGAGTAGTTGCAGGTGGCTATCCAAAAAACAATACAGCAACACATAGGTGACGATCATGCTGACCTAGTATACCTCAGAAGTCCTACGAAAGAAGAGATATCGCACAGGTCAAGCCCATCTCATCTGAGCTTATTCCTCGTCTCGACGCCCTCATCAAATCATTGCTCCATCCCAGCGATCCTCTCGGCGCCCACACCCCTTCCCTGCCAGTCAACTGATAGCAAGCCAGGCTTTGAACATGAAAAGCTACACCTCCATCATGGCCAGCAACAGTCTCGGCAACAAGACCAAGCAAGACAAGCTAGCCAGCCGTCCTGAGGCCATCGAAGATTCCACCGCAGTGGGGCAAGCCTGACTGCTTACCAGTTCCAGCCCATTAACTGGAGGCTCGAAGGCCGCACCCCGCGCGCCCGTGGTCTTGCGGCCTGCACAGACTGGCTCGACACCCTGCTTCCGGACCAAAGCCCGGAGCGTCCGCTCGCCGGGCCCACTGCTAAGATCCAGAGCCATGGGACGCGAGGCTTTCTGTGCGGCTTGACACGTACCTGAGGTATGAAGGGGGTGACGCAAGAGCCGATGCAACAGCATGCCCCCGCTGTGTCGTGGGCGCGTCAGTGTGTGTCTGTCTGAGCGCCGGGATGTCATCCCCGCTGGGTCTTGGGGTGCGGGCATACATTTCAGGGTCCCTGTGTGGTGGGCTGTTGAGGCCTCGGTTGGCGAGCAGGTCGTTGAACAGAGGCATTCATTTGAGGATGTTGTGGATGTCCTCTGTCGGTGTATCACAGCCGTGCGTGCTGACCCGGTTGGGGTTCTTGCTGTCAGTCAGGCACGACGGAGAGAAGTGTTTTGTTTACGCGAAGCTGATTGCTTAGGTCTTTTACGACGTAGTCGCAAAACCAGTGGAAATACGTAGCCTGTTCTATTCAAGTTCCAGTCGCCCTTTTTGTGCTATTAATCCTTTTATGCTATTGATACGTGCAAGCGGACAGACAAGAGTAGTATTTTGAGCTTGACTGACGTGGAAGAAAAATAAATGGAATGAAAACCAACACGCCATCATCTGGAGACACATACTTCCCGGTGGTGAGATGTTGCATAGGTATCGAGTAACTCAACACATGCAGTGTGGGAAACGGAAGAACCGCCACGCTGAAACAATGAACAGCTGGGGCTTACTGGTACCTGATTGATCATTCATAACAGCTTGCGTGCCGTGGTGGACGTCGGCGGCGCAAGGGAAAGCCGTAAGCATGATGGAACTGCCAGCTTCAACATGGCAACTACCTCCGGCCGGTGGGAGAAGACAGGCACTGTTCGCCCGTCCAACCAACCTGCCCTGAGGCGATTCACAGCCGGGCGGCCGCCTTCAATGAGCATATTAAGTAGCACGGCATGCGTGGTGAACTTGCCTTGACGAGCAGAGAGATGGATCTCGTCACCGATTAGACTTCAGTGAAGGCTGTGTCACAAGCAGTTGGATTCAGCGTTCCATGGCACTGTCGGCCAGCTGCTGACAGCTACTGCCAGCTGGTCATGCTTTTGCCAAGCAAGGCTGCAACATCTCTTGGACAACCTCACTGCTTGCAATGCAGACCTACAACCCCTCATCTACTCATAACACAGTCGAAACCCTAGATTTCAACCACGTGTGGTCATTCATATCATCCCAAGGATTCAGAACCTATTGTTTTCTGGTCCCTTGTGCAAAGGGACAAGAAAAGCCATTGTTTACCCAGGCTGCTCGAGCCAGATTTGACGTGAGGAGATGATTCTCTTTCTTTTTGTTTCTCACCATGAAAATACAGTCTCAGTCTCATTGCAGGCAGCTGCTTAAAAAGGAATGTATAAGGCACAGTCAAACTGCTTGTCCTGTCATCGAGAGTTGGCTGATCGAGGTTCTCTCCTGTTGGTTAGCGAAGACAGCATCAGATAACACCAACCAAATGAGTCTGAGGGATGCTTTGAACCCTCTCAAGATTCTCACATTCATGAGGAGGCCGTAGTTGCTGCCCCCCAATTCATAACACGTGCTCTCTATCACATGCCAGGGCTGGTCTCCCGATCAACCTTCAGGGCAGACCCACCCTACCATGGTGCCTCTGTTCATGATGTCAGGCTGTAGATAGTTGCTATGATGACTGTGACGCAGTGGTTCCTGATTGGTCGAGATATCTGTATTCTACGAGAGAACAATAGCAACTCCTGGAGAACAATAGGAAAGATGGGCCACTGAATGGGAACCTCACCTGGGCAGTCCCAATTCACTTCACGGTGCAGATTTCGGACCTCGTCTGAGCCACAAGTACTTAAACCCCCCATCCCCCCATCTCAACTCAACCTTCTTCCCTTTTTTTTCTTTCCTCAACTCCATCTGGCTTTGCCTTCAGGCTGTCAACTCTCGACACTGAAGCATCCTACCAGATACCCATCAACTGTATCAGTTCCTTGCCTCCAGTTTGTTGATTTCACAATTGGCCAATGTGCCGTGTCTCGACAAGCTGTCAACCAAACCAAACACCTTGATTTGAGGTAAGCGTTTGTCAACCTGGAGCCCCCGACTGACCTGCCCCACTGCAACCGACTGCCCAGCTGCCCTCCATCTGAAATCCACAGCCCTCCCAAGCTCCCCTACATCTGCAACATCTTCCCCACCACATGCGACACGCCTTTTTCCAACTCTTCCCATCAACAACCATACTCTTTCTCTTCAGACAACGTATCCCCATCGCAGTATTTGACGAAACTTGATATTCAGAACCTCAATCAACCTCACGGTTACCGCGTCTTCATTCTCGCAGGCACCCGTCACCATGAACGACGTACCAGGCGCCATCGGCGTCTTGTGCGGCGTCTTGTGGAATCTCACCACACCTGTCGTCCCCGCCCTCTCGATGGCGTGGGACGCCCTCCTCCACAACATCTACCTCGCAGCCGACCTCACCGCCGCTGCCTGTGTTCTCTTCGCCTATACCCTCATCTGTCCCACCTCTACTCTGGTTTGCCGTCTCGCTCGCCACGTCAACTACTTTGGGCACATAACCGCTTTGTTGTCGGCCGCCTACCTCTTTGTGCTTGGTCTCTACCTATTCATCGCCGAGTATCGCCTTGGCCTTGTGCTCACGGTGGCATCGCCAATCATCGTAAACCTGTCCTCGCTTGCTGCTGGCAGCGAGGCAGACTCTGATGCGATGGAAGACTATGGTAAGCTCTGAAATCATCATCCATTTCCGCCTAGACTGAGAAATCCGCTGACCTTGAACCTGCCACAGACTTGAGCCAACGAGAGCCCGATACTGCTGAGCTCTCCGATAAAACCTCTACAACCAAGACAAGCGACGCCCACGACGGTCCCCCCACCAAGGCAGCGATCTGGGCTTACTGTCGATGGATCTTCAACTGCGCCAACTCGCTGCTGCTTGTCTCTACATTGGACTTCATAGCATCGCAGTTCATCGTCAGCATCGCAGTCACCTCAATCACAACCGGCCCGATCTTCATCAGCGACGACCGCCTCGAGCTTTTCAAACCCCAGGTGCTGTTCGAGGTCAACATTACAGAGGTCGCAGTCGCAACAGCCAACGCGACAGAGAGCAAGACCCGCATCTCCACACCGGTGAACACAATCCCCGACTTCATCACCGTCTTCGGCAGCCCGACCCAAGCTGTGCCTACGCCAGCGCCGGTCGCAAAGTCGATTTGGGCGCCGGCAGCATCGTCAACACCGATGCCCACACCAGAGCCAACACCAAGCAAGGTCCCCGATCCAGAGCCTGAGCCTGAGCCAGAGCCAGAGCCCAAGCCAGAGCCCCAAGAATGGATCGCTCCCGATGAGGTCTTCCCAGTCTTTGAGGAGATGATCAACAAGTACATCTCCCAAGCCAAGGCAACTAAGGAATGGTGGCTCGATCTCGAGACGGTAGCACAATCCATCGTCATCGCAACCGCAGCCGCCGTCGCCTGGGCTCTCCTCCCAGTGCTCGGTCATGTCACGGCTGCCTCCACCATCACCGCCACCGCATCATACACCTCCAGCCTGCTGTTCCCCATCCTACAGGAACAAGGGCTCACCCGCGATCAGGCCCTGGTACTCTGCATTTCGCTCGCCCTGGACATGACCATGATAGCCACCTCCACTCTCTATCGGCTCTCGCGACGACGGGGCCAACAGTCACAGCCACGGATCAATGCTACCGTCGACAACGCCGACCAGTACACTACTATCATCGGCCACGGTCACCCCAGCAGCAGCAGCAGCTCGGACAACAACCATCTCAAAGCCTACCTTCCCCAATTAGGAGGAGACCAGCCCGAGGCCGACGACAACGTCCGCATGTACATCGAGGGCATCGTCAAGGAGCAGGCGACCAAGCTCGCCCAGGACGTCCAGCTCCACGCCATGATCACCAACGCCGTGCTGCTCGCCCTGCAGGGGCCCGACAAGATGCCCACGCACGCCGCCGCGTGGAACCGCGTCTCGCAGCAGATGTGGTGCCACTTCGTCCAGCACACGGTCGCCGCCTGTCTCAGGGAGCAGCAGCAGCAGCAAGCCCACACCAACAACCCCCGAACAACGGATGCTCCCGCTGAGGGCAGCTCCGGCGGGCACTGGGCACGCTCAAGCTCTCCCGGAGACAGCCTCGACGCTCATCCCGACGCGCGCAACAACGACGGCGACAGCGCCTTCCTCCTCCCTGAAGACACCACTGAGGTGATCTCGGGGACGGAGGGCGTCGCCGGCCTTCTCCCTGACAGGGCCCCTGGGGCAGCACGCTCGGGGGGAGGCGGCCTTCCCGCTGACCATGCCTCTGAGGCTGGCTCGCGGGAAGGCGGCGCGCCGGGGATTGACGTCCATGGCGACGAGGCTGATGACGAAACGACCAGCAACGTCGGCAACAACAACGACACGGGCGGTCCTCTGTCAGACCTGGACTACCTCGGTGAGAACGGCCGCATCCTGGGCGAGCACCTCTGCCGCCTGTTTGCGCGCCTGCTGCAGGGGGACTACCCAGATCGCAGGCCGACCCGCCGCGGCAAGAAGAAGTCGAGGAAAGACAGGGCTGAGGCTGCTGCCAAGGCTCAGCAGCAGGCCGAATCAGAGGCTGAGCAGCGAGTCTCATCGGGGCCCGGCTCAGAGGAGCCGGTGTCGCCCGAGCACCAGGGCGGACCAGAGCAGGACGGCGCTCACATTCCTCCTTCCCCAGGCGACGGCGTCAATGACATCAACGTCGCCCTGGGTCAACCAGAGCCTGCCCCTACCGCTGCCGAGGAGGAGAGCAAGGAGAGCAAGGAGAGCAGCAGCGATGGACAGGGCGGAGACAACAAAGACACTCCTGCCACCAGCACGCCAGAGCAGAACGGCGTCGTCGTGGCATCTCACTCTCCCGACGACAACTGCGCGGAGCCCTCTGCGAGCAACATCGATAGCAGTAACGGCGAGGTACCCAGCATCCCTACCGGAATAATGGATAGCCAGGGCGGAGACAACAAGGACACTCCACTCCCCACACCTCCTCCTCCGGTCAAGAAGAACAAGGGTCTTGCCGGGTCTCGCTTCGCCGACGAGGACTACACGCCTGCCCCCATCACTCCAGTAAAGGATGAGGCTTGGGCTGCCCGATTCAAGAAAAATATGCCTCCTACAAGCAAAGGCGACGACACCAGCGCCAGCCAGCACCGTCGCGGCAGCAGCAAAGACGCTGAGGCGGCCAGCACTTCCACTGGCGGCGGCCAGCACGGAGACAACAAGACCACTCCTCTTCCCGCCCCTCCTCCAGTCAAGAAGGGCAAGGGCCTAGCTGGTTCTCGCTTTGCAGACGATAGTTACACGCCGGTCTCCATCCCCCCAGTCAAGGATGGTCTCTGGGCTGCCCGCTTTGGGAAAGAGACGGCTTCTCCAAGCAGCACCGGCGGCGAGCAGGGAGAGAACAAGGACTCTCCTGTCGCCACCACTCCAGTCAAGAAGGGCCTTGGAAATTCTCGCTTTGCCAATGAGGCGGCTCCTGTTAAGGGCAGCTCGGGCCGCAACGACAACACCACACCACACCACCGGCGACGCCACGGGCGAGGGAAACGTGGGTAACAACAAGACCGGCACGCAGAAGCCAGTCGTCGGTCTCGGCGGGTCTCGCTTCGCCACTGGGCAGCCATCTCCAAGCAGCAGCCAGCGAGAGGGAATTGAAGGAATTGGATTTTTCGGGGGGCTCTAGAGGTTTTCGGAGGGCACTGCCAGATTGGGCAACCAGCGAGGTATCATTATCATCATAGCCTGTCAAGTACATGTGAACAAGTCCTTTCAAATTGTGTTTTTCTCGTGGTGCCGTTGATGCGATTCGTGGCCGTGGGCATGTGTGGCTTTCTTCCTCGTGATGATTACCCCGGTGAACTGATTTGATATGATGGAGAGCACCGAGCGTGTACTCGTGCAGTCATGATTTTATGCCAGTTGGATAAGCACACAGCCGTTAAAGGGCTCACATGGGGCACAACCATCAGAAGACGTCGGAATGGCCCACATCGGAGGAGGCCACTGGGCTTCATGCGAAAATGCCGACTCACCTGTGAGCTATGTGGACCCTTTCTCGAGTGCTCCGGAGAGGTGACAATGGCTGCTCTGCATCATCTGCCACTGCGTCATGCAAGATGCCCGGGACCCATCATCCGGGCAGTCCGTACACAGCCAAGCGTGCTCTCCCAGCAGTGCTCTTCTTCAAGCCTCGGGTGGTATCATCAAGTCTTCTTGTCTTAGGCGTGATGGCATCCGGACCTACCCGCACCAGCAGCGTCAGCGTGGGTTTGCAGGTCCGGATCATCAGCCCCGCAAGCCTGGCTCCTCCAGTGAAGCCATCAATTTTCAAGGGACTCACACAGGTGATTCTTCAAACTCACTTCTGGGACAATCGTACACAGTGGTCACGTGACGCCTCGCCCATGGACTCGACTGGTGAGGGGGGTCAGATCCATTCACTTTTCATCTGTGGTGAAGGTTGTTTCCAAATTGTACTGTGCCATTTAACGGAGCAAGGCAACTCTCCATCTGTCCATTTCCACAACCCCATGGCTCGCCCAACCCCACCCGACCTTCGTGTTCGGCCTCTGCAAACGGGCATAGACGGCTGGCTGGTGGCCGCAATCCAAACACGAACCGACTGTGTCATAACCATCCTCCACGTTTGTCTGAACCCTGCCCGTCGACACACAGCTCGATGCTCACATTTTCTGCACCAGGGCTCCTCGACAAGGACATCTCCTCCCTCGAGTAGATAACACAGGGACCCTACAACGCCGATACAGATTCCACCCCTACCCTGTACAGCACTTCTGGTCAACATAACTCGTCATCCAAATTGCCAGAGGCACACATCAGTCGAGATGGAAGCACGCTCTATGCATCGTGCAGGCCCCCCCGTATCGGCAGATGAGCTAGGGGATGATCCCAATCGCCCTCCGAAACACGGCCATGATGCTCTGCCAAGGATATTACATTTTCTGTTCTTATGGGCCGTCGTCTACTGGATCGTCGTCTGGCTACGCTGGTTCGGCGAGTCCTTCAATAAACCCCGGGTAGTGGGCACTGCGCCGGAGCCACCGGAGCGAGAAGGCCCCGGCGACAATGCATCGGATGAAGAGGACCTCCCCGGCCTTCGGTCGCGGAATTCCCCTGCCGACAGCAACCCATCCGAGGAAACCATTCTGCCCACCAGTCCAGTCGAGTCGAACAGCCCGCCTACCACCACCATCCCGCTCGAGCACAGCGGCGCCGATAGCGGTCTGCCGGAGCAGGACATTACGAAAGGCCTCGCCTCAGAAGACGGGGGTGCTCGATTGAGGAGCCTGCTTGAGACTCTTGCCAAGTTCGAGGAACATCTTAATGAACTGAACGCCTTGCTCAAGAGCGTGAGCATGCAAGATGAATGGCTGGAGATTTGCGGGATGGTTCTGCTCCTGCAGGACTCGGAGAGAATGAAACTGAAGGAATATAACCCATTTGAAGACCGAGCAGCCGGCCAGGTCAACCCCATGCTCAAGACATTACAAGGGCCCGTGGAGCACATTCCGGGGGCTCCTGAGGCCAATGCGGACACAGTCATTACATTGAGCGAGATCATCAAGCTCGACACGGGTGTTGTGAAACTAATGGAAAGCTGGATCGTTCGACGTGCTGTTATTTCCAAGGCGGTGCTCATGGGGAATGCAGCGGCCCTCGAGGCGATGAGGGACGTGGCCAGCGACAGTGACCCACTGGCCCTCGGCAGATTCGACGGCCTCATGAAGCGCATTGAGGAGAACAACAAGCTGGTCATGAAGCACGACAGCTCTATCGCTGCGGTATCGACTCTGCTTGCATCTGTGATCGCGGAGCACCGAGCGGCCCTCGACGTTTGGGTGATGACGGCTACAGCTGACATCCTCATCGCCCTGGTGAATGTCCCCTCGGGCTGGGAAACTCTTCAAGCTAACAGCGGCCACGTCGTAAGGAACCAGGCACCCCCTGGCGACACACTGCGCTCCGGCACCGCCCCTGTACCGGCAGATATCGTCGACAATGTTCACGAGCTCTCCCAGATATTCAGAGGGCCGTCAGGGGGGACGGCAGGGGCTGTGGCCCGGGAGTCCCCGCAGTCAAGCCAAGCCGACGACCGCCCACGAACCGCGCAGCTTGACCCCCAGCTCTCCGAGGATATGAAGAAGCTCCGCGCGGCCCGGCAAGACCTGGAGAAGCTTCGTGTCCGGACTCTGCGTCTCATGTGGGACCACCAGCCGGACAGGATGGGCCAGGAGGCCGCGGCCAGGGACCAGGAGTCCCAGGCGACGGAAATCTTCGCTTCCAAGGCAAAGGCGTGCTTGAAGGGGGACATGCTCCAGCTTGGTGGTAGCATGCGCGAGCGCTGGCAGCGGTACGTGAGAGGCATGAATGGCCGGGATGCGAAACAGGTTGAGGCCGCCACGCCTGCCACTGCCACGACAAATCCCACCACCACCTCCGCCGACGGTGAGGACACAACGACTACCATAATCGGATAGGGTTGCGAAGTACGACCTGTATTATGTTGGAGACCACCTGGGCACCCTGCCCCAGGACCGACCCAGGTACCTAGGTTAAATGGCATCCGAAAATTTCTTCCAATTACGTCAAAACTATTGTCTTACGACTTGAAAAAGCCCACACCATCCTTCCATTGTTCTCCCAACAATCCATCAACCAAAAGTAGAGAACTTCATCTGACAAACGAATTCTCATCACCATGCAGCATCGCTACTACCTAGGTACGTCCTGCGAAGGCCGTGGAATACCAAGGCATCGCCACCATAATCACTGTCCGCTCCTCGCCCCTCACCTGCAAGTGGCTGGCAGAGGTGCACAGTGTGGGTTGAGATCAAGGATCGGCAAACAGTGCCAAAATGACCTCAGAACACTCGATAGGGACAATGTCATAAAGATTGTTCCGGTAGTATTGGCATGCGTCTGACAACTTCCACCAACGTCAGCCTCCCAGAATCGTGGCCTTGGTCAGTCTACACTGTCACTCGTTTGGGATGCCAAGATCTCCCAGGCACCTGAGGTAGCCCGATTCATCGTGAATAGCTTCACACGCATCCATCCAGGGTGGCCGTACACTACACTCAATACACTACATTACACCAAGTGTATATAAATAAGTACACTATATATACTATACTAAAGCTATTTTGAATTTTATTATACTCTACTAAAGAGCCTAGTGTGTGTAATGTAGTGGGTTTAGGTGTAAATATAGGGAATATCTCCCTTCCTCTCCCTTCCTCCCCCTTCTTGCTAACTAAGCAGGAAGTCTTTTATTTAAGATAAGATAAGATTAGATAAGATAAAGATTATTCTTTTAGGGCTTCACCTTAGACCCCCTATTCCCCCTACCCCCTCTTATTTATATTTTATCCACTATATTACATATACTTATACTAGAGCCCTTTACACTACACTATACTTATACTGAAGCTATTTCTAAGCCCACTACATTATATTAGAGAGCCCAGTGTATGTAGTGTAGTGTACGGCCACCCTGCATCCATCCCAATCGTGGTGGCAGACCCATAATCTTCTAGAAAGGGGCGCTCAGACCACAATAGTCGCTGATATCGGTAAAGGCCGGTGTCGTTGACACTAGTAGAAGAGTCGATGTCTGCTCGGGATCCGGGTGATACTTATGGCTCAGCTTGATGATCATGCGGCTCATTCGTGACCAAGATGTCTTGGCGTTCAGGATGGCGTGTGTTTCGTAACAAACAAGGCAGTCCAAATAAAGCCTTTGGAATTTCTGTGACCTATATACCAGAGTGAACCAGGGTATCTTCCTGCGCTCCACACCCTTTTGATCAAAGTACGTTGGGTTTTCTCCATGTTTCTTCGCGTGTGCGTAGAGGCTGGCCTTGATCCCCCCTGCTCCCTCCTCGTCGCATACCCCCTCTCATTACACTTGACCCCGCTATACTACACACACCAATGTCTTCAGGTACAACATTTATAAGTTCAAAATATCCTCACTATAACGGGGTATAGTGGGCTGAACACTTACTACACTACATTGATTTCACTGAGTGCACCCAAGTGGTGATCGGCAACACTGCGCACTCGCCACTCAGATCGCTGCTACTGTAGATACCTGTGGCATGACTCCAGAGGATGAACCACCTTGGTAAGCATAGCCTCCCTCCACCGGTCTGGAGGCGTGCTGAGGATGCCCCCCAGACACCAGCCGACGGCAACGGAATAGTCGTGTCCCGCCTCCTGTTCTATCTCCCCATGCCATTCCCTTGCGGCTCGAATGTCAAGCGCGCTCTCGATGGTTGCATCTCCCGTGCGGGAATATCGAGTCCGGCAGGGTTGCTCCTTCAAGAGCTTCCCGAAGCACAGTTCCAGGAGGACGATGCCAAGCATTTCCAGTGAGGATGACAATTGCATCCTACGGCTATTCTCGGTGGGCGGCGGTTTTCTTTCGAGACAGCTGTCGAGGTGTGGCTCGTCCAGTTTGAAAACTCCACGATGGACAGGGTCCTCGAAGAAAACCACGTCTGACTTTTGCCAAGATGCGGATAGCCAAGGCGACTCGAGCAGCTGCAGGAAAGACGATGACAGAACAAATGCCAGGGCAGTTCTTTGCCGCCTCGTTGGGCGGGGGAGGCCGACATCCTGTAGAAGTCTGTCCAAAGTGATACTTCTGGTAGGACTTGAGTGGCGAGGGACTCCTGGCTCCTCGTAGACGTAGTAGTCGGTGTCTTCCTCGGTGATGAACCCACAACATCGGCCATATGAATAGTCAAGGGACCGGCAAAGGTCGGTAATGCGTTTTGCAGGAGTCTTCGAGGCCGATGTTGCAGTGGACGGGTTCTCCACACGCACCTGCGTGATAGTAACCGACGTCGAGGCCGGCTGGGATCTGCTCGGTCGTCAATATTGACGGTGCTTTAAGTGGATACAATACCAAAAGGGACACATACCCGATTCTACCGGAGGTGGAAGACTCGCGTGTCTTCATAGCCGATCGTATCGGGATAGAGCTTCGATGATTCGGCTTTTGTGTGTACCCAGTTCCGGTCTCGACGCTTGAGAGGCTTGTGCCGACCGACACTTCTGAGCCTTCTACGCCTGTACCCCCCTCCTTTGTGATTCTGATTCGTCTTGTATCTTCACAATCCTTGAGTCTTTTGATGTATAAGAGCTTGAGGTCGATGGAATTGCTATTACGGTGTTCCAATAGCAGGCTCGTGGAGTGTTCCGTCCGACAACTGCAGGTCCATGCCAAAGAGAGGGCTGAGAACACTCTGGTCGCCTGTTTCCAGAACTGACACAACGCGTTTGATCCAGAACTCTTAGCCGATTCTCGCTTGATAGACAAATCTTCATCATCCTCACTCATCTGCAACAGTCTCCGTAGTCTTTTGTTGCAGCCCTCCAGTTTGGAGAAAATCTCTTCTCGCTCCTTCTCCGCCTGGCTGAATCTTATCCGATAGAACTGCCACCTCGCCTGGTCTTTGAACGCTCCAGGTTTTGATGTGACCTGGGCTGGCTTCTGAGGCAGTTCTTCATCATGTATGGTGGAGGTTGTGGAGTATATGTTGTGATGGGGGCTTACCCCGGGAGCTGACCCGCGAGATGGTTGTCTTGTCGCCACATCAAACGCTAGTTCGCGGTTCATCGCTTCAACCCATTCATGAAACTCATTCATACACTGAAGGTAGATTTGACACTTGTCTCCAAGACGTTCCTCAAGGACTGCCGAAGTTCCAGCCTCGGTCCAACACTTTCCCGTTGGGTCCTTCAATAACGCGTCGATTTGATCGTCGTCCAGACGTGCCAGAGGCAGTAACAATTTCTTGAGGTTGCTCACATATTGAAGATGGTGAAATCCTAGCTGTGCGTCACACCTTTTGTGCTCGGCCGCGATTTTATACCAGAATCCGAGTCGTTTCGCCACTTCTTTATATGTGCCTAGAACACCTATCGCAACTGGGAAAGCTCCCAAGACAAGACCAGCAACCTCCAGACCTGACATCACAAATTCTCTGAGGGGTTGGTTATGGTTTAGGTCAATTTGATGGCCGAAATCCACGCTGGACACTACCAACGACGTAGGACTTGAGACAACAGGGAAGCGTGATGTCCTGATATGCGTGGCGCGCGTGATCATCATCGAACAATGCCCCGCACACGTGCACGCGATATGGTTGCACAAGCGATAAGCGATAGGCCCTGAGAGCTGCATGAATCCTGATTTGTAAACCATGGCTTTCTTTGTTGTGATGCAGTCGCCCCCGCTCGTAATTTCCTGCAGACCTCCGTACTTTGGCTAACTGGGCCGAATATATGTTGAGGTGACCTTGAGCGTGCTTCGTGAGGGAGCAGTCATTCTTTCTCATTGGCAGAATATTACTCAGTACTGGAAGACATGCCGATTCTAGGACCTTGCCACCATGGCCGACTCCAACCCAAAGAAGAGCATCGCTGAACGCAGTGCCGACGTCAGACGAATTTTACTCGATGTGCTTGAGAAATCAAAGACAATCGAGTCTCCTGTTGAGGCGCGTAAGGTAGAGGATGTGCTGGATAGATTTAAACTCTGGGCTGGCAACCTCGGAGCACTCCACCCCGCGCACAAGCGGGTTTCTCTGGAGTCTAGGCTAGCTGATAGTCCCGGGGTTAGAGACCAAATATGTGAACACCTCGACGATATGCAGGAAGCGTCACAGGATTGTGAGTGGGGTCTTTTGTTTCCTACTGCCCTTTACCTCCACTAAATGATTTTCAGTACTGTCCCTACTCTCCGAGAGACGGTCACGACTCGAATTCAACGCGCACGATACCCCAGAGACTTCGAACACCAAGGAGCCGGAGCATGACCCTACACAACACGAGGAGTATACATCCAAAGAAGAAGAGGCGGACTATATTCTGCGCATGGTCTCCGAGTGCCTCAGGGCTCTCTTCCGTATAGGCATTTTGGTCAGAAAAGCAACACCCAGAGACCGTTTTGAACTAGCGCTTCAGCGGTCCGAGTATGCATTTTCCGCGCAGTTCGATATCAACTATGTCCGGGAACGGTACCCAAAACTGGCATCCGAGGATTCAGATTGGTTGGTATCCAGGCTTGGCTTTGCAAACTCCAAACGTCGACAGTTCATCAACTACGCTCGAGACCATAGGGCGAAGCTTGAGGTTGAGGATCCAACGACTGTGACGAACATTGTGATGGATGCAACCACCGTGCGGGAATCCAGCAAAGCCACCACATTCGTAGTCCCACGGGATCTTTCGACATCCGACTTTCTTCAATCGTCGCTTGATACTAGTATTGAGGATGATTTGACGTCATTGGTATCAGCATCTACAGCCTTCGATCACGAGGCCAGCCTTCGACTACCGAGTCTAGCAGACATGGGTCCAGATGGAGAATACTTCGAATGTCCAATCTGCTTTACCCTACAATCGTTCCGCACAGAAAAGGCATGGAAGTACGTCTGAGCATTACATCCTCAATTTCCCTATAGCATAGGTGTGGACTTCTACATCGTTCCTCTCCCAACCACCCAGGCATTTCTGAATTTACTTCTTGATGAGGTTAACCGACTGTACACAGACTACACGCTTATCACGATCTCAAAGCCTATGTCTGCACGTCCGCTGGTCAAACCTCAGGATGTGAGCACAAATTGTTCAATGATCGCGACACCTGGTTTGATCACGAGTTGAAACATCACTATTCACTTTATGTATGCAACCTCTGCAGGTGTCAGTATACAACCGCGATATCACTGGGAAAACACCTTACCGATGAACATGGCCCCTACTCAAATGACGAGATTGAATCGGTCATCGAGCATGGGAAGTTTGTTCCGTCGCAACTGAGAGCGCAAGACTGCCCTTTTTGCGATACATGGGCCTCAATACTATCACAGCGCAGGGATGGGATAGATTTCCGAGCTTTTAGTATGGGAAGGTCCGACATCATGGTTTCCCTGACGCATTTCAAACGGCACGTGGCCACACACCTAGAGCAGGTCGCTATCTTTGCTATACCAAGGACGATGGACAATGACGATGAGCAAAGTCACGACGCCGCTGATGCGAATTCCGAGGCCTTCTCATATAAAGATGAACAGTCCCAGGATAAGGATGCCGCTGACATCGGCGATGTTCTTCAGTTCGTTGACGATGACTTTAAGGCCAGGATAACCACCACGTGCGATGAGCTCCTAGCCAGATCCCGTTCCAATCCCCAATCGTGGAAGGATGACTTCCCGACAATAATGTCAACAGTCTTCAACCGAATTGCACGGAGATTTGATCTTCAGTCGAGAAAGTTTAATCCTTATATCCTAGAGGACCAGTACAACATGAAAGAAGCCTCGGCAGTCTTGATGAGCGTATGCCCTTCTTTGGCTACGCTGAGCCAAAAGTTTTTCTCAGTGTTTCCTCCCGGTAACAATTTTGGAGAAAGCCTAAAGTTCATCGCACGTAGATGGCCTGTGGATATTTACGAGGTGTCTGTCGACCAGGGCTGGGTGGACCAAGGAAATGGTTTTTGCAGACCTTTTACAGTCCATAGCATTGAAGGGGAGAAAGGTGCCCACATCAAGCTTCAAGTTGTCTCGCGATTGACGACGGAACGCCTGATAATCCAGGAGCCAGTGGATGAGAATTCTAATTTTTTGCTCTCGGGGAAGAAGTCGATTGTCTGGTCAACCACTCAGTTCCATACCAGGATGGCATTGAGTTTCCAAGACACGGGTAGCCGTGACGCGGTATGGAGGATCATCAACAACGTGCAACAAAATGCCAAAAAACAAGGCATGCAACCAGCAATTTACGAAGATATTGGTGATCTTGACCCCGCTGTCCCTAGGGCTGAACAAGAGACACAGACGGCGCCGTCGGAATTTGCAGACCTGTTGTGAGCACTGTAGTCCTTTTAACTTTCGAATGAGTGGCTGACGCAACACAGTCGCGAGCTGGCGTTCGGAGGGATGCCACACACACGCCCAACCTTGGCAGGGGCTTCGACAAAATCTATCGACAGGAAATTTGTACGTATAGTTTGATCGTTCTGGTCCGGCAAGAAAAATAACTTGAGCTCTCTGGACAAGTGATTTCGCGAGATTTTCTATGGCAATTAGCTGACATTTTGAAGCCCTGTCCTCACTGCCAGGTAATCACCACTCAGTCAAAAGACCTGGACCGCCATATAGTCGCCACACGTAAGCAGTTCAAGCAGACCTAATCGCTGAACGAGAGCTAACTTCAACGGCCAATGCAGACAAAAGGAGGGGTGCTAGCAGGCCAGTGTGTGAGTTTTGTAGGGGGACATTTTCTCGAGGCGACAATCTGAAGCGTCACATGCGAACTTGCCGGAAGCGTCCGGGGAACAGCCCTACCTCAGCCAGCAGTCTGGGCAACCGAGAAAGCCCCACACAGGTAGAGGCCAAGAATGAGGGCTCCGAGACTAAGGGCACAACAGTCATGGCTCCTGAATAGGCTAGCAAGCCTGCCATACTCAATATATCTAGGGCGCTGAGGGAAATGAACGAGGAGAAGTCAATGAACCCGAGTCTGACAGGGAGGATAGCACGATACATGTGATGGACTGAGAAGCGCACAGCATCATGAGTGCATTTACTCGCAGAAGGTATGAATTCAGACTAGGCATCATGTCACAGACGCTTCAATCAAGAGACATCAGCCCCGTTCTTGAGCTGAGCGCCGCGTTAGAAGATAAAAGCGTCGTTCCATTGATACAGTCTTAGCGAGGGATCTTGCCAAGCTTTGGTTCATGTGTAAGTAAGCTCTGCCTATACACACCAGGGTAATCAGCAAAGTCTCATAATTGTACGCGATCATGAGTCATGTCGCCTCGGTGTAGGTGCCCAGATGGGAATCGACCCATTTACGGGGTAAAAAAAAAGGATTGACAAAAAACAAATCATGACAACTGTGCGACTCGAACGCACGCCTCTTTCGAGACTACGAAGATGTTGAACACCTGAACGTAGCGCCTTAGACCACTCGGCCAAGTTGCCTTGACGAATTCAAGGAAATTGCAAATACTATGTACCATGCAAGAATATTTCGGGCTGCCAAGTTTCCAAACCTGCAATGTTCTATCGTGCTGCCTCCTCAAGGGGCCTCAAGAGAGACTCTACTAAAGGGCTTCCAGCAAACCGGCTTTAGATACGCCACAGAGCTCTGATGTGATACATGCATGACATAGCCTAATACTAGTGCACGAAGGTTTTAAAGGCCTGGTGGTAAATCGTTAGCCGTTTTGTCATGCCGCCTGTCCACGTCAAGCTCCCCATGTGTGCTCTTCTGCCTGTGTATCCTAAGCCTTGAACGTCGTAACCCCTGGAACTGCGCGCCAACATTCCGCATCGTCATCCACCACTTTTCCCGTCCTCTTTCAGACAGCTTTGCCATCACATCTTGTATCAAGACAACTGATAGTAGTGATCTGTTGTATACTTGGGACCTGTGCAAATACCATGGCAGCGCTGGAAAGTGTCAACACCGAGTCTGTGGTAGACAAGCTGGTAGATCGTCTCTGACATTAACTACTCATGAGGTCCTGCTACATCCTCCCCAAACACCTCTCTATAATCTTTCTCTTCAAACGTTTCGTCTTCAAGGACCTTTGCGAAACCGGCCTCCAAGTCCTTCTGATCACAGAAGTCATCAGCGAAGAAGCCCCAGTCTGTGCTGTAGTTATAAAAGCAGATCTGTCGGAGAATAAAAGAATTAGCACCCTCCAAGCCATGAAACCACCGGGGTTGCTTCGTGGCATCCCATGGGATGTGAACGAAAGGGTAAGTTTACCTTGCGTTCGTTTTGAAGATCCTCAATCGTGTGAGGGAACTTCTCCTCCAGAAGTTCAGGGCTAAAGTCCTCAACGTCAAGCCTGTAGACCCCGCGAAACACCACCGTCGGCCCAGCGTCGCGGAGGATGCTGGAAAATTTCCACGAGGACTGAGCCCTGCAATTTTCCTCTACCCAGTCCTCCATCGTGGGAGACGCGCCGTGGTCTCCCAGGGAGGCGATATCAATGAGCCCCTCCTCTTCGAACCCAATGGTCTGCAGCCTCTGGTAGTCCTCCAGGCATTCCTGGAGGGGACGGTCGGGTAGCTCGCCACTGTTGAGACCTCGGATATGCCTGATGTACGGCTTGGCAATGTCCGGCACAATACAACCGAGAAAGAACGTTAACTCGTCGTCATCAGGGTCGCCATAGAGCGTGGTCTTGCTCCAGTAGATCTTGATGGCCTCGTCGTATGCCTGGTTGCAGGTGAGCAGGAAGTTGTGGTGGTCGCTAGGCTGCAAGATGCTGAGCTGTGTGCGGCTCCCAACCGTGTGCTTCTTCTTGTACCTGACCTCGGACCCTTCGAACAGCGCCTCGTATATATGGAGTCGGACTTCGACGGGGAGCACCGTGAACAGTGCACAGTAATCACCCTGGCCAAGGTCAGCCATGATCACGTCCTTCTGATCACGGTGTTTGGTCCTGGTGGCGGGGGCTGGTCCGTGCTGGTCGTCTTCTTGGTGCCGGGGACAGCCGGTCCAGCTAGATCACACGTGATAGACGGCGGCCGGAGCTCGGGGAGAGTTGTTTACTAGTCAGAGACACAATAACCAACAAAATGACGGACTTAAGCACACATGAGGAAGAAATTAGCTATGGGCGCTTCGGGCAGGGCTTTTATACCGGGCATCTGCGAGTTGGCGCCCAGTTGGTCGGAGGGATGTGACCAACCTGATGAATGAAATGATTGGCAAGGTCATCCGCCAACCCTGACTTGGGCCTGAAAGAGCAGCAGGTGGTGATTCACGATTTGAGAGGAAGCCAAGGCAATCTAAATCTCCCCCTTTAACGGAGAATTATGAGGTCGAAGAATGCGTGTGAAGTCTGACAAGCTGCACATCAATCAATGTATGCGATGAACAAGGACTGCCAAAAGCGAGAATGACCTGGCCAAGATAGTTACACAAGTAGCTGAAATGCAACGTACTTTACTGTCATTTCATCAATCAAGATCCGAGTCCATTGTATCTCAAATAGGCCATCTCCACATGCGTGCGACAAAGAAGACCGGCCCCCAGGCCGGTGACCACATGCCGATTATAGAATATGAGGGACGGGATGCCTCCCACAGCCAAAGCGGAAAGTCTTTGTCAAGCCATCTTTGGCCCTACGGCCTGCATGTTGGTAGTTAGTCCACGAGCAGCTGCGGCCTCGCGGGTCCCTTTTGTTTCAGCTGCCGCCAGATGGGGCACCATGCTCGTTCGCTTCAGGTGCGTTGGTGGCGGGTAATGTGAGTGCTCAGCTGGAGTTGGCGACCCGGGCAGATGCGGCGCAATCGAGGTCACAAGTACTGAAAATAGGAACGGGCCTGTCAGTGGTTCGCAGGTGGGCCAACGGCCACACACCTGGGCATGCATCTGTGGGGCGCAGGGCCAACACTTCTGCAGCCGCTCGGCCTCGAGAGGCCGGCATGCGACCCGGTCAAATGGTGGAACTTTTAATCCTCTTGGAATCACAGCGAACGATAAAATCATCTCAGTCATCCCCGCGTGCAAGACTTCATCGTGTACTCGTGCCCCACCCTCTCGGTTCTTCGGCTTGGCTCACGGTTCATAGCTTCAGAATGCCCAGGACAGGAGCCTGACTCGCCATCAGACGGTCACACTATGCCTTTCTGTTGTCACTAGCCTTGCTCGCCGTACCCAAACAATCCAACTCCATCATTTTGAGGCCATGTTTGCACCGGGCATTGGGCGAGGGCCGTCTAGCTCTTTGACGGCGTCTGACTAGCTCGTGTCTGGCAACGGCGTCGACCTCCGCAGCTTGACACGCTGCGTGGCCAGACCCAGCTCAATGCTAGGACTTATCGTGCAAGACGAACGCATCTAAATGGACACTGATTTCTAGAAGTAGACCATAGAGCCACTGTCTTAAGTCTTGTAAGCCGAGAACCGAGTCCCACTGCTGTTATGACACTATGCAGGCTATTCTTCGTCCCAGGAGGATTCGGAATAACCGGAACTAAGCATTGAAGGATAAAGTAGTTTGTAGTATTCCAGTGAATTTGCATGATCCGTGGTGATTGTAACAAGAACAAACATCGGCAGCACCGTCTAGCCACTCAAACAAGGCCAGCAAGAACTATTTGTAGCGGATTGTAGACTAAGACTGTAATAGACTGGGACCGTGTACAAAAGTAGCTCCAAGACAAGTATTTAAGCAACGAGTAGATAGTTCAAAGCGAGCATCAGCACAGCTTCCACATAATCCGGCTACAAAAATCTTGGTACCAATGGAGCGTCGACCGTAAAAGTAGTCTTTGCGTATCTACACACGCATTGCTGAGGTATCTGTTGAGAAACTATGTGATAGCACAGTCTCCTCGGAAGACCTTCACGAAGTGAGCCAACAACCCATCCCACATATACACAGCTGCTGACTCGGATCCAGGTCAATATTCGTTAACTCAAGCGGCCACAGGAAGGAATAGCAAGATATTGGCTCTCGAGGCTATAGTGGTTTCCTTGTTGTCCGGGTTGGCCAGCTCGTCTAGCAATGCAGTTCATATCCGCCAGAATGGCGTGACTTGCCAAACATCCGACGGATGCCCTCAAACCGAGGACGTAACTGTAGTCATCGACCAGGTTCGAGGACGACCACCTGGTCACCAGTGCCTAATCGGCAACTTCGGGGGCTCTCATAAGTCTACCGCATTCCGTAACCGGGACATGAAGTCGCAGCAGCCCATGCCATCTACCTACTTTACCTCCGGCCCCCCTTCTCAATCCTTGACAGCGTGGGTCTGCTTGCATTCTAACCGGGTTACTTGGTGGACTGCACCACGGTAGAGAGACATGGAACCGCAGCTATTGGCGTCGGTAGGAAACGGGACAGCGAAGAGTCAGGGCTCTCGTGCAAGCAGGTGGCTATTTACGGAAATGACGTCCAGAAAAAGTGTTTGAGCGACTGGAGGGCCGGAGGAGCCTACCAGGTTAGTGCTGACAAGAGGGTCATTGTGGTCACAACGATCGGTAGGCACTGCTCTAAAGCGGAAAGCAGGTGGCTTGGAGTTGAGTTCAAACACAAACATTGAGCTGTCAGACTCAGTATTGAGAGGCAAGCAAAAGTCGTGTTCTTGATATAAGAGCGGCCCATTTCCCTGTACCTAGAGCACCAGGTGCTCATCTTGAGATATGTTTCATGTAATGAGGGCTGGGTGCAGGCCAGACAATTTGACGTACGGTTTTGGATTCAAGGCCTGTTCATATATTAACTGTTTAGCAGTAACTATGGCCAGGTGTTCATCAAAACTCACTAAACAGACTTCTCGTTTGAAAGGTGATGTTTCATCGACGCAATCCCCAGTCATGACCAAAGGTCACAATACACAGCAGGTTCACCCCGATCAATGAAAGTGAACCCGCGTAGACAATTCAATTGAGGCTTGCCGTCGATACTGCGTCTTTAAAACCCCAGCCAGAGATTCCATCAATCTTTCCATCTTCCTATTCCATCCACATCCTCAAACCTCCCGATTCTCTGCAGCAGAGCAGACAAGTCAAGCTCTCCTCCCTCTTCGTTCCCTCGCGCTCTTCAAGCACACCCAATCTTCATTCCAGTCTCGCAAGACATTTACGCAACAAACCACCTTGTGATCTCTACCACAAGATTACCATGGCCAAATACCAGATGGCGGTGGCCCAAACGAGCCCGCGCACCCTGGTCCCCATCTGCTACCTCGTCGACGTGTTGCCGGTGGAGGTCCGCCTCAAGATCTACAAGTACTACTGCGAGGGCTCCCAAGTCGAGGCCTCCCTCGCCAAGAATGGCGATGATCCTGTCGAGCAGACCGGCAGCCTCGTGCTCAAGTCATCCGAGCACCTCAACCTACTCCATACCTGCCGCACCATCTACAACGAGGCCCTGGAGACCTACTGGTCCGCGACGCTCCTGCAGCTCAACCACCCTCCCCGCAAGATGCCCGGCAACACCCGCGCTTGGGCGGAAGTGAAGCTCAAGATCGACACCTACTCCCACCGCCTCTGCGCCGCCCTGCCCGAGGCGGCCAGGGCCAACGTCAAGGACGTCAGGGGCATGGTGCTCCCGGCCCTCAAGAGCGTCTGGCTCCAGAACAATCCCGGCCAGGACGCCTCCGCGCTCCTCGCCACCTTCAAGAAGCTGGAGACCTGCGAGATGACGCAGACCCTCACCCACCCCATCGACGGGCTGGTCCGACATTACCCGGGCCTCGAGGACCTCGAGGACGAGAACTCCGAGGACGAGCACTCCGAAGACGAGCACTCCGAGGAAGAGAACCGCAAGGACGAAAACCTCGAGGACGAGGACCACGAGGACCCCAAGGACGAGAGCTACAGCCGATTCAAGGTTACTGTAATCTCGCCATCCGAGTTCCTGAACGAGCGCTATGGCTTGACCAACTTTGATGGGATCGTTTTCATCTTGAAGGGCAAAGACAAGCATGTCGTGGGCATTATTCCCCCGATCAAGGCGGTACGTTGAAGAAATCTACCTGTCATGATGTGCTCAGAATGCTGTGGCTGACGATTATTTCAATCTCTCTAGTCTGTCTTTTACAACTTCTCGACTGGCATCGCATTCCAGGACATGACCAAAGAGATGGACGACGAGGAGGCCTACAAGAAGATCCTCGATATCGAGGAGTAGCCTATGAAGGCAAGGGGAAGGCTCAGTATGCCGACGAGCGACGGGGTGGACTAGTACACAAGGGATGGAAACGTCTTGGCATGGATTGTCGGTTAAGGTGCACAAGCCTCCACCAAGAAGCACACCGAGGACCTGGTGGCCACACAGGCAAGGCATTTTGGAATGATGGTCCCAGACCATGATATATCGGGGCGACTGTTATCTTCACACCGATCAAGAGCAGCACAGATGGCCCTACCTTGGCGGTGTTGTCTCTTGATAGTCAGCCGCCTCTACAGGGGAAGTAAATAGCTACTTCTCAGGCTTCCGCAAATTGGAAGCACTTAAAAAACTTGCAAAAGACCCACTGTGATGTAGTTTCATTTTCAAACGTGTGAAAAAAGCATACCGATTGTACATGTGATTGATTGACCAACGTCCTTATGCTTCGAGCTGAGCCCTCGTGCTCCGAGTCTTGGTCAGCCATCGTCCCTGAAGGGGCGCGCCCCCCGGAAGTCGTTGGCTGGTCAGACATTCTGCGCAGGGCTGTTGGCTCCTACAGCAACCCAAGCTGTAGGCTTACTTTTGGTCCGCCGAGCTGGATGTGAGGATGGTGATTGCAAGCAAGGAAGCGAACAGGGACACGGCATAGCACAGAACATGTGATTACACAAGCGCAATTTCATTACATGCTTTATGAATCAACTGAACACCACCCGTCTTCCTCCTTCATTCCTCCAAAAGCCCGCCCTCCCACTTCTCGACAACTCGACCGAGTGCTAGAACGCGGACAGGAGGCAGGTCGGACGGGGTGTACCTATCTCACGGGGTCGAGGCAGCTGATCAGATTCACTCCTCGTCGTCGAATTGATCGAGAGCATACAGGACCACAGCACCTGCGGCCTCGAAAACACCAAGGGCGGCGTCGAGGCCCAGTTTAGCGCTGGCACAGCCGATACGGACAGCATTGACGACGGTGCACACAGCAATCTTGGCCTTCTTGGCGACCCGGGACTTAGTACTGCGTTTGCCACCGGGTGCTGTGATGGTATCGGCAGTGGACCTCTGGTTGGTGACGCTCTTGCTGGGGATGGCCGCCCGCTTGTAGATGTTGCAGCCGGCCGTCTTGCATGCGGCGCCCACGTCGTTGCCCTTCTCCTCGTAGAAGGTGACGGCCTTCTCTACATTCTGCACGGAGAAGATGCGGGCCATCTGGTTGCGTGTCTTGGTGAGAGCCTTGTTGAAAAGGGCCTTCACAGACTGCCAGACGTGGGCCATCTGCTTGCGGGTCTTGGTAAGGGCCTTCTTGAACGACGCCTTCAGGGGCCCGTCCTGGCTAGTGTCTGCGGCTGTGGATTATTTGGTCAGCCTGCTAGAATTGGCATTGTTTGGCATCAATTGAAGGCCAGACTGCTTATTGACGTCGGGCTGGAATCGGGGATGGAGGGGCAGACCGCGCCTGGGCGGCGGAGGCTGCTTGTTATTTTGGCCGGAACGAGTTGTGCTCTGGGCGGTGGACTTACCAGGATTGATCTGCTTGTTGGCGGAATCGTCACCGCGAAGGATGAGATAATGTCCCTCGCCGGAGGCTGATGGAGAGGTCTGGGCACACATGCCGCCGACAGTGTTGGGGTTGATGATGGTGGTTTGGGACATGGCTCAAGTGCTCAGTGAAGGATGGCTAGAACAAGCGTTTGGGTATTCAGGGCAGAATTGCTTGAGAACCTCGAACGAGTATGCTGGCTCCTGACGATGTAGTGGAGTCAGGAATATGATGATCACCTTCGAGAAGAAGGCGAGGCAGCAGGACAGATGGACGTTTGGTCACATCAGATCATGATAAGCGTCACAATTTGGCGCCGAAGGAGAATGCTGCAAGTGTCAGCTTGCGATTGAAGGGCAGCGTGTGCAATGCTGGCTCCTATGTGTGGTGGCGAGTATCAGTCGAGCTGCATGTGGAGGATGGGAGGCAAGGGTGGACAGAATGGACGGTGTCGAGGTTTGGGTCGTGCCAACGCGGTGGTCTGAGCATGCGTGCGAGAGACCAGAGTGGGGTCATGGTCGGAAAGATTGGCAAGATTCGTTCAGACACTGTCAGATGGTGAATTCAATGAACTTGCGAAGTGGCAGTGAATGATCCGGGCAGGGTGTGCGAAGCCCGTTGCAGCCCCAACACTGGAGGCGTTCAAACGAGGGCGATCAAGGAAGCATCTGCCATCCCTGCACGCGCAGTGTTTCGTTCTTCATCTGTGCAAACGAGCCGTTATGCTATCCCTTTACACAGTGGTAAATCCTCACGACAAGGACATGAACTGCCAGCGCGGTCTCCAGAATTGCTGAATCCTAGATCTCTGATAATGTTCTCAGTAGCCAAGTATGTAACATGTCTTCTAGCGTGTCAGGATCAGTAGCTGGCTTCGAACCATCGCTGGAACATGATCAACCTTAGAAAGCACAACTTTGCCGGCTTTGACTCTAGCACCGTAGAAGATTAGCCCTTGGGCTACGTGCGTTGATGCTTCTGGTCAGCAGTGCCGTCAGGAGCGATACATCCCAGCCTTGTCTATGCGGCACGAGGCTGAGGCCACGGGCCCAAGTACTGTATTCTCTCTACACTTTTATTGGCACTATTTAAGAAATGCTGATTACGAGGATGTAGATTTGTAGTGTGCGGGAAGGGGGTGGTGCACGAAGTGGGTTGTTGACTTCTCACATGCAACAGCTGAGCCGCCGCGCCTTACTGATGATGAAGTTGTCGGGCTTAAAAAATCTTCTCTTCAATCGCACATGTCATACATCAATGTGAGGATATCACAGTTCTCGGGCGGTTCCACGAGCTGAACATTCTCAATCGCCTAGTGCTGCAGGATGAAATTCATGGGCTGATCGAAACCAACTGCTGAGCGGGGGGGGGGGCCAAGGGACGCTCCACTTCTGGGCACAAATCGTGCGTTCAGCAGCCTAAATTGCTGACTGTAGCCCGCATGTGGCGTTGAATATGATTAACTGAGGCTCCGAAGCGACTGGATGATATCTCACAGCACATTTGACGAACAAGGAAGCGGAACGTTGCACGACAGATAGTGCTACCTACGTACAGGCAACTACCAGTGGGTCTCGGTCCTCCTCACCCACTGATGGTGGGAGGCGTTGGAGGCAACCGAAGGTCTGACCCCCGGGTAGGTAGATGGATAAATTTCGTATCCCCCCCCCCCGCCCAGTTGCGGGGTGAACTCACGCTTCCCAGGCGTTCCCACTCATCCCACCAATACAATAGGCTGCTTGAGAGAACGTCGAGAACGAAAGCCTCATGGACTTCATTTGATACCCAGAAAGCTGATCCCGGCTCGCTGTACTTTCTATGAAATAATCCCTTATATCAGCACCACTTGAATACACTTCTTGATATCAGCAGCCAAAGCACCGTCTCGAAATGTCTGCAACACCGAATGTATACCAATACAATAATCTCAGGGAGGAAACCAGCATTCGCCTTCTCAAAGTCAAGCCTCGTCTCGAGGAGAGCTCTGAGTGCGGTCATCGCCATGCGTCTTGCGTTCTGGAAACATTCGACAGAAACCCGCCGTCGTACAAAGCGCTTTCCTACTATTGGGGTGACGCAAAGCACGACAGGCATCATATTTTCCTCGGAGACACGCTCATCGAGGTTCACAAGACGCTGTGGGAATTTCTGGATCATATTCAGAGGTCGCGGGACACTGAAACCTGGTTCTGGACGGATTTTCTGTGCCTCAACCAAAACAACAACGATGAGAAGGCCATCCAAATACCTCGCATGGGAACCATTTATGGACAAGCCCAAAAGACGATCTCCTGGCTTGGGTGTGAAGCGTCTTCAGTAACCCAAGACCTCCCGGATTTGCGAAGTTCCCTGGAACGCATTGAAAAGCATGTCCCCGACGCTCGTGAAGACGTCAAGAAGTTCTTCAAAATGTTGCCAAACTGGACCACCATAATGAAACACAAGAAGACTTATGGATCTTTGCCTCCTGTACCGAAAGCATCCGATGAGGAAGATCAGAAAAATCCGGATGAACCGGAAGGACGAATGCGTAGATGGGGTGGAGTATTCGGAACAGCCCTCCCCGGCATCCTTTCACTGCCGTACTGGACTCGAGTTTGGATTGTACAAGAGGTGACAATGGGGAGTCAGGTCGAACTTACCTTTGGCCCTGTTTCCATTGATCTCGACGACTTCTTGCTGGCTTACAAGTGTCATTTGTATCACCTCATGAAGACCGGCGGCGGAAAGACGGATGCACCTGCTGGGACCTCGTCCGCCATGGAGGCAAGGGCAGCCAAGTCCGATAAAGATATTTCCGTGTATCGGATTCTGCAATGGGGTATGCTGTGTAAAAGCAGCTGGATCCACGATCGAATATACGGCTTGCTCGGGCTACTAAATTCCTATGGTTCGCCAGAATCATCGACTTTGGGGTCGTTGAAAGTCAATTATGATAGGGACATCGTCGATTTGTTTTGGGACGTCGTGTTTGCATGCCGAGCACCAATCACAGAGAACCCTGGGAAGGCAGAGACATTAGGCTTGATCCAAGAGTTTGTCGAAATCACGGACTTCTTTCCCCGTCTTGCCAACTCGCTGGGTTGTTCACATGCATTTTCACCGCAATGCCTGCGCTCTTACCTTCAAAACGAGAAGGACCCTCCACTGCACAGAGACCCCGGGGAGCTGTCCAGGCGACTGGTCTCGATTTTCCAATCACTGGGGAGCGGAATCCTTCTATCGACATCTTCTGGCATCTATTATCCAGAAAGCGGGCTCTCTCCATCAGACCTCCTGATATCACTCCTTAAGCGTCCAAACCCGGACCCGCATCCGGACTCGAAGTTCCAAAGTCTCGAGTCATACCTGGCCACTATCTTCTTGGAATACGTCGATAGCGGTGTTGATAAATCCGCCGAAATACATGCCGCGCTTATTTCTTTGCGGCTTGCGCAAGGGCATGATCTCGGGCCCAGCAGTTGGAGATGTCTCCCTGTTCAGAATAAATCTCAGGATGATGATAAAAGCGGTGGACATAAGAAGATAGTACTGGAGCGTAAGGTTCACTGGACACAAACTTCCGTGCGTACACCGTCGCGGGACGCAGCGGCTCGTTGTTCTCTCGCAAACCACGGAGATCATGAATGCCCGGGCTCCAGCCTGTATCTGAATCTACCAGATCCTGGATGGAACTTAACACTGGACAAACTCCCCCGCGATGAGGAGGACATACGCCCCCGCGATAAGAAGGACGATGGCTCGATATATTGGAAGCTCAGCATCACTCTCCACTGGCCGAAATATGGCTACGTGATTTTCAGTAATTAAAAGCGCGAGGGACGTTGATGTCTTGGTGTGGTTACATGTTCGAAGTCTTCGCTGATGGCTCTAGATTGCTGTGCAGGTAGATACCTAGGTATGTGGCCAAGCAATTTCATGAATTTCACGACCGAAAAGTCGGCAGCCCGCAGCGCTACAACTGTAAAACGCGTTCAACTAGACCTTTATTAACTACTACATTATCAACAATTTCTCTTTTATTGCTGGGCATGGGGCCGAGTTAGCTAGCTGGTAGACGAATTTTGTTCTAAATGCCCTCTGTCTGTTTTGGAGGTGTCTAAAACGGCCAACAACACGCCGGGCCCCCCAAGGTGTAAAAATCGAAGCAGAAACTCATCCGCCAGCGATGCCACTCCATATCATCACACAGAACGGAAGCCTGCACCCAGGCTGAAGCACCCCCGGGGGAAGGTTCAACACGCTCACGCCACCGTGTAACTAACCCTCGAAGTGCCCTTACTCCTCGAAATCTTCTTGACCTTGGTCGGCCCACACAAATCAGTAGTATCAACATGCGTCCCGCCACAGGGGTACACCTCCGCGCCGACGATATTGACCACGCGGAACTTCTCCCCCGGCGGCGCGAGGCTCCGGTCGGGGATCAGCCGCTCGAGCCCGTTCCTCCGGAAGTCCTCCTCGTCCCACCAGTCGATCTCGACGGGCATCGCGGCGGCGACGTACTCGTCGACCTTGGCCTGCACGGGGTCCTTCCACCTGCCCTCGATGAGCCCCGCGAACTCGCACGCCGCCGAGTCGGGGAAGTGCGACGCCTTGAGCTCGTCGAAGCCCTCGACCTCCTTCTCGAGCAGGTGGCGCACCGCGGCGCCCAGCACGTGGCCCGCCGTGTGCAGCCGCGAGTAGAGCAGGCGCTTGTCGACGTCGATGGCCTGCTCGACGGTGTCGCCGGGACTGAACGCCTGTCCGGCGGAAGAGAAGCGGCCAAAGTGGAGGACCTGCCCGTCCTGGACGGCGTCCATGCGGACCGCCTGGACGTCAAAGGTCTCGCCGGAGGGTCCTGTCATCGAGCCGACGTCCGAGGGCTGGCCGCCGCCCTGGGGGTGGAAGATTGTCTTGTCCGTGACGACGACATGGTCCTGGTCGGTCCCCTGCTTGAAGAGGCCGCGGTTGGCCTCGTCGAGGGACGAGAAGGCGTGGACGGCGGCGACCTTTGTCGGGAGCTTGTGCAGCTTGGCGTCGTGCTGGAAGGCCAGGTATGTGCGTCCTGCTGTTGACATGATTGCTTTTGCACGCGAGAGCATGTGCTTGGTTCAGTACGGTGAGTCTCGCGCGAGCGGGTGAGCAGGTGTGGTGTTCAATCAGCGAACTGCTAATGAGTGAATTGGCTTATGTATTCCGAAACGGCTGCGAAAGCGCGTCACGACTTCTGTGCGCAGATGAGCGTCGTCGGCCGGCCGTGAGATAAGACTAAGCCGCTGTCTGTGAAAAACGAGAGTTGGCCCCCCCCTTATTTTATTACCCCTGTCTACCCCACTATACCTTAAAAGCGCTCCCTTCATATACACACCCACACTACATCTACACCCCTTCTTTATCCTCTAAAACTCTTAAAATAGCCAGCCCCCCTAATAAATACACCTATATAGGTATAGCATGTTTACACCCTTTTTATACTTAGTATATTACTTATATTTTATACTTTTCTTATAACTATTCTTATTATTATTATAACTAAAAAGAGGTTAGAGGACGTTACTCTATTTATATATATAGGAACTATAAGTATAAAGCTCTTCCCTTTACTATAATTAAGCCTCTTTAAGAAGTAATTTACCTTTATAAAAATAATAAACTAAAAGCTATAGAAGTAATTAAGGCTATATAATGACTCTTTTATTAACCTTTAAACTTAGTTTTAGAGGTTTCTATTAGAAAGGATGAATACTTAACACTTATAAGGTATACTATAAGTATATTTAAATGAATTATAAATACTATAGAAATAATTACTAAGGGGGAGGAATTGGAGGATAAAGAAGTAATATAGGTGCGGTGTGAGTGTGTGTGTAAAGGGAGTGCTTTTTAGGTGTAGTGGGGTAGATAGGGGTAATAAAACAAGGGGGGGGCCAACTCTCGTTTTTTACAGACAGCGAGCGTTTCGGCTCCGAGACAGGGGTGAGAAGCGCCGCCGGAACCTGGGAGACTGCCCAGGTGCTCAGGGTTTATATTGCATGCATAATACGGAGCTGCCAAGGATACTGTGTTTATTTTCTCACCCTCTTGAATTTTCTCTTGATTTTTCTGAATCCATTCTCGTAATCAAGACGTCCATTAAAGTTCTGCACCAAGTATCAACCAGAACCTACCAGTTCATACCCTGGCCTCGAAGTTTGCACATGTGGCTTATTACTATTCTACAAGCCAACTTGTTAGCATTCTATTACATACATCTAAGCACCACGGGATCCTGTCGAGGAAGACACCCAACGCTCTAGAAGCGAACTTGGAGATACAACCTGAATAAAAAATTTGAGAACGAAGTTATCTGATTTACAATTCTCGTCGGAATTCAGTGTAGCTAATCTCGGAATTGGTCTCAGATTCGGCCAGTACAAACAGTCAGACGTCTTCTGTGGCGTCGAGCTGGAGCTCATCCTCACGCGTAACTGGTTTTGTTCCTGTCAAAATTCCACACAATACGTCCTTAGCCACATCAGACGTAAAAAACCACACGAAAAACCAGCTCACAGATAGACGAAGTGGGACGCAGCCGCGACAATTTCGAGCGGGCTGTTTGGATAGAACGCCATTCAAAATTTAATCCTCGACGACAAGGCCCCTTCAGCTTCCCCTGATTTTCCACCTCTGGAATCTCGCAAAGGAACCTCAGCTTTGGGCGGGCCAGATCTCCAAACAATGGGGGCGTAGAGCTCATCTCAAGCGTCTGCGTCGACGGGCTCGACACGGGCACGACGGCTCTGGCGCTGCGTGGATGGCCAGGGACCCTGACATGATGCCGTCTGAGAGCTGCGGCACGCATCGATGTGCACGTGTCGTTCCCGTCACTCCTCCGTTGAATCGCTCTTGATAGTCGTGTCCCAAGTTTATCCTCCAAGAGCAGCCGCTCTCCACGACGAAAAAGGTCAGCACGCACTCACAACATCAAAACCCGAGCACCCTTTCCAAAAGGCCATCACACCGGCCCCCCTCGCAAACCTCATCCATTCTTCATCCAACTACACACATACATCCGGTACCTATCTAGGCATGGGACTTGAACAACAACAACAACAACAACAACAACAACAACAACAACAACATGGTTGATCCCTCCCAAACACCATGCAAGTAAGACCAACGCAACCACCGCATAGCCACAGGAACCTGCCACTGACCGCGGAATAACTCCAGATGCAAGAGCAACAACTAGCCAACCACAGCAGGAACCCCAGCCCAGCCCCGCGAGAAAACCCCCTACGGCCCGAGTCCGCCAGCCTCCCGCCCCCGGCTAGCCGACAGGCCGCACGGGGCTCGACCATGGCAGCTCGCGCTCTTCTAGTAGGCCCTTCCGGCCCCCGGGAGGGGGAGGGGCGAGATGCCATCAAAACCCTCCGAATCATCCCGCTCAGACCGACCGAAAACCAAAAGGACGTGTGCCATGGCTGTCTGCGTGACAATGCCAAGTGTTCGTGGCGCCAAAGGAGGTGGATGCTTCCATTTTTTTTGTTTTCTGCCGGGGTGTTTGGTTATACCGGGGGGTTTTGGTTGATTCGACGAGGGTTCGGTGATCAAAAGCAAGCAAACGAGCAGAAGCTAGACGACGGGAACAAGGACCGCTATCCCGGGGCGCCACTATAGTTAGTTAGTTAGGTAGTGACGGAGTACTCACTCATTCACCAGCATCAAAGCCCGCTCGGGGGACACACACACACACACATCAATCAACACCACCGGCAGCTGACACACATCATCATACCCAAATATATTCATTCATCCGTCCATCCCACACGCCACGCTATGAATCTCCCACATGCAACCAACACGATGAATCTACAGAGTTTTAAGTACCCAGGTAGGGTGAGTAAGTAACCAACCACCTGGGCATGTGAAAATACACATCACAGCATGCAAGCCTCGCCCCCGATATCAACAACGGACGGAGACGGCCTGCCCCCACACCTCTCATACTGGCAGTGCTGGCTGGGTGACATTCAACCAGGCAGTCCGTCAGTCCATCCGTCCGTGTACATCCATCAACACTACCACCAACCACTCTTATTAAGACAGCATCCATCAAGCCATCCGCCCATCAATCCGTCCGTCCATCCATCCATTCATCCACCCCGCCCCAGCCAGAAACCAACAAACCACCCCACCTCAGCCTGGCCTGGCCTGGTCTGGGAGAAGAGGAAGCGAAAAAAGGGGGGTATCATCGCATCGCATCGCATCGCATCGCATCGCAGAGAAAAAAGAATAAACGTGCCTGCCTGCCTCGCGCCCGTCTCCGTCGCGCGTCCCTCAAGCTTTTCGTTTGTTTTGCGTGGACAGGACCAGGCCAAGCATGCCTCGTGCTTTTTATTTTCATAGTTGTTGTACAGTTGATGCCGTTTGGGGATACTCTCTCCAGTCCATCCCCTCCTTGGATGATTGGCCCTTTCGTGGGTGGGTGAGCCAGCCGGGTCGTAGTGAATGATATTCCAACGCGGGACTCGAAACCGTTATCCCGTCAGGTCGCAGTAATCTCCCAACGCAGCACCCACTCAGCTCGGCCCCGTTGTTCAGCCAGGTCGCGTCAGGCCGGGCCGGCCATCACGACCGAGCCTTGAGAGTAGCCTCCCCCTCCCCCTCCTCGATAACAGGCTCGTCCATCATCTCGTCCATGCTGTCCCGGCTATCGCGGTCGCTACCGCAGCCGTCGTCACCGTCCCAGTCGTGCCGGGGACCGTGGTAGTCCTCGGTGGCGTCGTCCTCGAGGTCGAGGCTGCCGCGCGCCGCGCGCCGCGCGACCTCCCGCTCGCGCCAGATCTCGGCCTTGCGCGCCTCGGCGTGCTGCAGGCAGTCCACGTACGTCCTGAACTTGACAATCTCCCGCAGCAGGTAGCTGCTCTTGCGCTCCCAGTTGGCCATGGCCTTCTGCACGTTGGACCCGCGCGGGCTGAACGCCAGCAGCATGGGGCTGCGCAGCGAGTTGTGCTGCTGCAGCTCCGCCTCGATGCTCTTGACGTAGTTGAGCAGCGTCTCGAGCTGCTCCTTCTCGCCCGAGTTCGAGGGCCGCATCGACTGCGTCGGCGGCATCCACTCCGAGATGGTGATCCGGTCGCCGGGGAGCTTGTTGGACGGGTCGCCGCCCCGAGTGCTTGAGCTGCCAAAGTCGAACGAGCCCACCGACCGGAAGCTGCTGCCGCGCGAGTGCATGCTCGACCGCCCAACGGCACTATTGCTGCGCGGTCGACCGCCCGTTGTGGTACCTGCTGCTGCCGAGGCGCCTGTGTTCTCGTTGATGGCCGTCACGAGCGCATTGTTGATGATGGCATCGCTCCAGCCATATTCCATGTTCGACACTCCGCCGGTCAGGGGATGCGTGCTAAGCCTGGCGCTCCAGTAGTTGGCAGTCGTGACGAACTCTCTGCATATCTCCGGGGTGCCGACATGGAACAGGTGCACGGCACCCGTGGGCAGAGACAAGGCCCACACATGGGGTCTCTGTTTCGAGTACCCCGGCGGTGGCAGAGCAGACGCGAGAGCCAGCCGGAGACTCCACGAGCCAAGAGAGGTGGCGTTCTCTTGCCAGTTGCCACCGCCAACCACTCCGCCCTTCTTCACGTTCGATGCGTTGCGACCGCGACGACCTGTGGACTTGTTAGGCGTGAAGGAGAAGATGCTCACGGTACCTTTCTGGATGACGGCAAAGACCTCGGACCAGTTACGTTCCTTGGCCTTCTTGTCGACGCCGTCGAGGTGATGCTTGTGGACAACCATGCCCTCCTTGACCCATGGCGGCCCGGCGAGCTCGAGCGACTCGTCGTCGAGCAGCTGTGTGGGTTTCAGCTCGTCGCTCACGAGGGACTGAACGCTGCCTGTGGGGTCCTCCCGGATAATGGCCTGGCTCAGAGCATTGGCAAAGCCAATGGACTGCTGGTAGCCGCCGCCACGCGTGAAGTGCGACCCAAACGAGTCCATGGACATGGACGTCTGAGTTCTACCCAGGGAAGCCCGGCTCCAGGTTGCATTGGACTCAACAGGACTCCACATCGACTGGCCATCGTCGAAGCTTGTTCTGCTAGAAGAGAAACCCGCGCTGCCGAACCCACGTGGTCTTGACCTGCTCTTGGAGGACCAGCGTGAGTTGCTCGCGCGCATCGAGTCTGGGCCGCGGCCACGCATGGATGGGTTCTCCGAAGGGGCTTTGCTGAGGACACTGGGCGAGCGCTTGAGCATTCCGATAACAGATAGGCCGGAATGTTGCTGTTCCAGCGCAGGCTGCTCGGCCCCAAACAGCGGCAGCCGCTCGTCTCTGATCGAGACATACGTGTCCTTCAGTACGTGCTCCATCTGTTGTTCCCATGCCTTCAACGAGCCTTCGAAGGGGCTCTTGACCAGAGGACCGCAGTCGTCGACTTCAGTTGGCGCATCGCCCAGCGCTGACCCAGCTCGCATGGGGAATTTGACGAACGAGTTGCGGAAGCTGGATCGCTCCTGCTCGGTAGGCATGTCGCCGTCTTCAAGATGGAGCCCCTTGCCTGGCAGCACGCTGCCCCTCTTGTTGAATATCTCTGGGACAGAGTCGCCGAGAGCCTGTATTATCGTTGTCATCGTGTTCTTGATGAACTGGCTGCGGGTCATCTTCTGCTCGATGTCGGCCATGTGCAAGTCGGTGTTCAGGAGCATGATGGAGTAGCAGATCGTATGGATGACGTCTGCGGGTAACGGTTAGCATTGTGGGAGCCAAGACTTGTTTGCAGAAATAGTGGTGGGTAGTCTTACCGGTGGATTTGAACCCGTGATTCGGATTGCAACTGCACCAACGGGCGGAAAATGCCACCAATATCCTGTCGACCTGCTGGGTTTCTGCTCTGAGGACCAAGCGATTGCACACATCCCGCAGACTTGTCACGATGCTCTTGTTCTTGAAATCATAGAGGTCCATGTATGCCTGCAAGACTCGTTGCCGGATCAAGCCCTCTTCGCCCATCCACGACGCGGCCTTGTCCTTCAGTATGAACTCCTCATTGCCATCAAAGATCTTCTGCGCCTTGGCCTTGTCATCCTCGGTCGGGTCGCCTACTACAAAGTAGGGCTCGTCGAGTGGGTTGAGGTCCGGCTTCGGGGTAGTCACCTTCGAGTTCGGTTCCGAGTCTTCGACCATGAGGCTGGGAATGCTAGCTGCTGAAGCACGTGTGTGCAGCTTCGGGTCTGTGAGAGCGCCCTCGATTGGGAGCTGCAGGCTGGTGTGACGCTCGCTCTTGATTGTACTGAGGCTGTCCTGGGTGAGCCTGTCCATCTTCTTGTCCCGCATCGATGATGGGGACATGAGCTGATTAGTCTGAAGTGGGGCCAGTGACGCGCGGCCCAAGTCGCTTCGAGATGTGGTGGAGTCGTTGACGGTCGACTGGAACTCTGGCTTTCTCATCCTTGGAGGGCTTGCCTCGCTCCCACTGCTGTCGTGCAAAAAGGAGCCGGCACGTTCGTAGCCGTAGAATGGCCTCGGGGGGTCTCCCGACGGAGTTGTCCCTCTCTGTCCGTTGGTAGCGGAAGTACTTGGGTCCCTCGACCTCGAGTCGGACGGCACTGATCGTATCGTCGCCATCGGGTCCGGGTCGTAGTCGGGTGAGAAGCTTCGCACCTGCCGGTCTGCCGACCGACTGCCATCGGATTCTGAGTGATGCACCGGGGAGAAGTCGTCAGGCGGCTGACGGGGTGTTGCCATTCCTGATGATGGCCCCGAGTGCGTCAGGTACGGGTCCATCGCCTTCCTGAGGCTGGTGACGGGGCTTGGTTGCCCGCGCGGGGTGAGTACTTCGAGATGTTGTGGGGCTGGGGGGAGTTGCACCGGGGAGATGGTGGGGGCGGAGAGCAAGGGTGGTACACGGGGGAGGTCGGCATCGGCGACGGAGATGGACTTCTTGCGTCGTCGGAAGAAGCTAGAGGGTTTCTTCTGGAGGCCATGGGAGGAGTGGCTCTGAGACCCCCGCGAGGGCGGGTTGCTGCCCGACTTGGACTGTGATGAAACCTGGTTGGAGTTATTGATGCCCATGGCAGCGGCAGGCGGGATGGAATTGTTGAAGGAATTGGACAGGCCGGTCGAGTTGGCCGATTGATCCAAGGCGGCCACGACGCTGTTCTTTGAGCCGCCGCCAAACATCCTCTTGAAGAAACCGGGCTTTTCCTTTGGCTGCGGTACAGAGTTTGAGGCGGGCGGGTGGTGCACGGGCTCTTTGGCCTTCTCGTAGCCAACGTGTGGCGCCGGGGCGGAATCTAGGTCGAGCGTGGGCCCAGAAGCGGGAAGGGCAGCGGGCGCAGAGGGGACAGGAGGTGCATCACGAGAATTAAACCTGGCCTGTGCCTGTCGGCTGGTGTTTGTGCTGCGTGAGGACTTGTTGCTGCGTTTGCGTTCGAGATTGATGGAGCGGACAGGGGAGAGGGGCTCGCCCATGGGCTCGGGCCGGTGGAAGGACGGCATTGACGGCATGTTGGGCAGCCGGCGAGGTCCGACCGGCACAGTTGGGGTAGGCGCGGCGTCATAGTCGTCCTCGTCGCCGGCGTCCAATTGCCACGGCCGCCGCGAGTGCTGCTGGTGGTGATGCGATTGATTTCGTCGCTGCTGGTGGCTGTTGCTGTTGCTGTTGTTGAGGTCAGAGTGCACGCCGAAAGGAGGGCTGCGGGCGAGTTCGAAGCTCGAGGAGCGCTTCGATCCCAGCCCGTGTGCTCGGCGCTGACTGCCGTAGCCGCCTCCTGCGTCGATGCTGTTTGTGCTACTGCTCTTGCTGCCCCTGCCCCCTCTCGAGTGTAACGGTCTCGACCCTTGTGCTGCGCCGTTTGTGTTTCTGTGGCTGGACAGCTCGCGCATGCTGCCGATCCTGCCCAGGTTTGACTGGAAGCCGGTGGAGCCGCTGTTGCTGCGCTGGCCCCTGGAGAGGGTACTCGAGTTGTCCTCGTAGTCGGAGCTGTACGAGTGTCCGTGGCCTCGCCGGGGCGGCGCTCTCGAGGTGCTGGTCATTGTTCGGGCGGCGGGGGGTGCATCGTCGTCGTAGTAGTTATTCGACTCGTTGGCGAAGCCAGACATGGTGCGCTGGGCCCCACCGGCCTGGGCGCAATTCATCTGACCCATGCTGAACTGGTCGAGGGACAGGAGCATGTTCCCCAGGAGCGAGTCGCGCGTGACATTTCGGGGGGAGAGGGAGAGGTCGTGGGAGTCTCGCGGCCGGGGCTGCGGGCGGGCGGAAGGGGGTGTGGTGGCACTGGGGGGGCTGCTGCCCGGTTGGTGGTCCCTGTCGCGGTCGTATTCAGCTGGGAAATCATCTTCCTTGCTCGTCATGTCGTCGGGTGAGAGCGGGTCAAAGAAGGTTTCGAAGACTCGGTGATTGTCCCGGGCGTGCTTGGCCCAACCGTGTTCCGGGTCGTGTGTGCCAATTTCCGGGTCGGCGTGTCGTGCATCCCTCTCGAGCGCGGCGTAGGCCTGAGCGGAAAGCTTAGCGAAAGGGGACGAGGGTTCGGAGGAGCGGCAGTTGTTTGTTGTGACGGCCAGCCAGCCCTTGCCCTTAAATGAAACGGCAGGATATGAGTGGGAGAGAGGGGGGTAGGAGGGAAGGGGGAGGGGGGAGGGGGGAGGAGGAAGAAGAAGTCGTGTGGTGGTGGCTTACGGTGACGGCAGATGTAGTAGATGCGGCAGCGGCGGCGGCGAGGGCTGCGGAGGAGGATCGCAGGCTCCTGGACGAGGACTTGTAGGGCAGATGGGGCGGGGGCGGCGACAAGGGGGTTGTCAGGCCGGGCGGGTCGACAGGGCGGGCGGCGGTGGCAGCAGCGAATGTATTTATGTTTAGGTCTGGTCGCTGGCGGCGGGTATTCCTCCTTGGGGGGTCGGGGTCAAGGTCGTAGTCATGGTCGTAGTCAGGGTCGGGATGATGCATCTGGTGCATTTGGTGGTGCATCTGATGCATAGCTCGGCTTGGAGGCTGTGCGGGAGGGTGGTGTCTGCTATGCTATGCTTGCTTGTCGCAGTATCAGCACAGTACCTGCGCCGGTACGGTACGGGACCACCTGCAGGTGCAAGTGAGTGCAGCACCAGCGGTGTATGCCTGTGCCTGTGCCTGTGCCTGTGCCTGTCTGTGTGCACCGAGAAGAGTGTGTAATGCGAGGGCTGCGCCGCGCGCATGCAGGCCGTCCGTCCGTTCGTCGATCCGTCAGTCAGTCCCTCCCGTCAAGCTGTCAAAACCGGTCGATCGAACGAGCCTAGTGTACCCCGTAGGCGAGAGGGTAATAAGCTTGAGGAGGCGCTTGCTTGGCTGGTTGGCTGGCTGGCGGGCTGGCTGGCGAGGGTTCGAGGGGGCTCGAGGGCGCCACGCCAACTGGGGAAACTTGGGGGTGTGTGAGGCAGACAAGACAAGACAGGACAAGACAGGCAAGCCCCTTCCCCTTCGCTGATCTCGCTCGTCTGGTGTCGGGGACGGGACACTACCGAATGACTCGAGATGGGGGTGTCCCAGATCCCAATTACAGATCCCAGGTCAGGTCGTCCCAGGTTCCCGGTGCCTGGGCGAAAAGGCTACCGCTACCCCGGGGTACGGGGCGAAACTCTAGCGATCTGGGATACTAGGAAGCAGTAGCAGCAAGATCAGCAAAGATCAGCCACAGGCCGGGCGAGGGAAGAGTAGCAACAGCAGCAACGACAGCGACTGCAACAACAGCAAGGGGGAGGGGTTGGATCCGTTGCAGAACAGACGCGAAATGGGCGCCATGCAGAGCAGCAGCCGGGCAGCAGCAGGGCAGATTGTGTCGAACTGGCCAGTGGACCGGACACGACATGCATGCATGCAATGTAATGCAGGCAGTATGATAAAAGGTCGAATAAAATATAAGGTACAGAAGAGTACGGGCGGAGTATAGCACAGCACGGCACAGCAGGTTGCAGGCGTAGGCGGGGATCAGCGAGGGAGCGAACAGGTGGTCGCACTGGCTGGCTGGCTTGAAACGAACGACTGCAGGTTAACGAAAGCCGAGCAGGGTTGGCAGGTTGGGTCGTGTCGGGTGGGATCGAACTGGAGTGTGCGTGTGTGTGTGTGTGTGTCTCGACCCTCGAATTGGCTGCTTGCTTCCTTGATTGCTTGCTGGCTGGCTGGCTGGCTGTCTGTGTGTGTGCGCCGTTGACCGTTGGCCGTCGTCGTTGTTGGTCTGTCGGTTTTCTACAACTGTGGCGCTTCGATGCAGACAGACTAGACAGACAGACTGGACAGACAGACGCAAGGACGAACGAAGACTCGAGAAAAGAGTACGTGCTGGTGCAAGTAAAAGTGCACGGAGCTACGGGCTGGTGGGACAGCTAGACTGATATCCAAGGGGGAGGCGCCAAAAGGAGAGAGATCGAGCCTCGGAAGGGAGGGTGGGGTGTGGGGTGTGTGGGTGTGTCTGTGTCTGTTCTGGTCTGCTGGTCTGCTCTGGTGTGACACCGGCTCCTCCCTGGTCCAAGGTCAATTACTGCGTACTGGGGGCAGACGGGCCTAGCTTGTATGGATCGAGGTTCAAAAGAAGGAAAATAAAAATAAAAACCAGGGGAAAAATTGAGGTCGAGCTCGAGCTCTTCTTGCCTACTACTGCAGGTGCAGGTCAAGTGTGCTTGCTTTTGGTCAAAGCTCTGTCCAGTTACGGTGCGCCGTACCAGCGATCCACGTGTGGGCGTGTGGGATGGGCAAATTTTTGGCAGATTTGGAGATTGGCAGATTGGCAGATCGCAGGTTTATCATCTGACTGGTAGACTGGCCAGTTGGCTGTCAACCACAGACTGACTGACCATGACAGACAGGTATTTGCTTGTTGTACGAAGTACTCGCTATGGGGACGGCCATGACGGAGACACGGCGAGGCTCTGTTATACCGTTTTGGGATGGTGCTGCAACTGCAGTCTGGACCAAGGACAAGGCAGACCTGGTTGCTGAAATGAGGAAAGCACGACGGACATTGGGCTGGCTTCTCAAGTGCTGTGTAGACCATCTTGTCAATCGGGATTGGGGTTGCTATTGTTGGCAGGAACTGTCTGTCCTGGCCGTCATGCACCTGCCAAAACGTCAAGGCTTGAAACAGAACAGCATCAGAAGGAAGAAGAAGAAACGGCATCACAGCAGATCACCCAATGTTGTGAGCACACGAAAGAGGCAATCACCTGGAAATACACTGGAAGGAGGCATCTTGATCCAAGCCTCGATCTATCACACATCACATCGCATCACAGACACAGACACAGACCCTCCAAATTAATAAGACCATCATTGTCCCATCAGCCCGCACACGGGGGGAAATCTACAAGTTCCCACTGGGCCACGTCGTGCATCCTCCCCTGTCGTGACTTTGTGACTTCCTACTAGCGCCCCTGCCTCTTTACTCCGTACCAGACAGCCTACAAAGTATGTGCCTGCCACAGAAAGAGAGGGTCAAGAGGACACAAGACCGACAAGACCAGCAAGACCTGTCGCGTGGGACCCCAACGTGGCATCCCCTGGCCACCTACCGGTTGGGGCCATGGGGCACAAGGGCCCACGATTTATTTCCTGCCGCATTGGGCCATCGGGACTGGGGTCGCAGGGCGGCTCCACCACCGAAATGGAAAGAACGGAGTCCAAAAAACAGAAAAACACACGAGGCTAGCGAGGAACGGCAGGGTCGCACGAGATTTCAACGGTGGGGTCCAACCCTGTTTCTGGCCCGTTTTCCCCTGTCGTCTGCATCGAATATCCCTGCAGCTTAGATGCAAGGGTCTTGGTTCCTGCTCGGGGGTGTGCCTGTCAGCTTGTCTGCCAGTTCTGCCAATTCTTGCCCGTCTGCCTCTCTTCTCATTGGACGCCGTACAGTACTTCCCTCTTTGGGTGCTCGCAGAAGATGGAGGCTCATCTCGGTGGCAGTCACGATGGCAATTTTTATTCTCCCTTGGATTTGTCATGACCACAGTCTTATCGTAGACTGCCCAGGTGGTCACTGCTACCGCCCGCTCTACGGAGAACTGCCCGCATGCAAGCATCTCGACACGACCTATCCACTTCTCGTCTCCCCCCCCCCCCCAGCCAGGGGCTCGCAGGCAGATGCAGATAATCGAGCCCCAGCCGACCCAATGGTGTGCACATTGAGATTTGTCGCCTTGTGGCTCTGACCATGATCGCCCAAGCCACACCATCCAGCCATTTCGCCGTCTTCTCCGTCGACGGGCTTCTCTCCCAGCCAGCCAGCAGCCAACCTCGGCGACACGAGCAGGATGCCCGAAAGAGGGGATCCGTCCTAGCGCCAGGTACGGGGCGCATCGGCATGGGGTGGATGCATTGGCGGCGGGCGATGCATGCGAATGCGAGAGATGCTCAGACGCCACATCTTGGTCTTCTGGTGCGTGTGCTGCTGCTCTGCACTCATGAACCAAGTAATAATAAACTTTGCAGAACCCTGATTTTGTTCGACATGAACCATCTGGGCACGCACACAGACTGACTGACAGATAGGCACATCTTGCACGCCTGCATCAATGCCAGATTGGTTGCGCCAGAACATGCCCAGACTGCAGATCCCACCCATCCCATTCGACTGCTCGCCGTCGCAGCTTGCGCGCGGGTGCAAGACACACACACAGACACACTGACACCACCTCGAAGGATCAGGCACAGTCGCAGTGACATTCCGGCATTCGAGAACCAGAAAAACGTGGCTTGCCAGGCCTGCCCGCTGACGTGGCATCGATTAATATCTGGCCCTCGATATAGACAAGCACCTCACCCCTTCCGGCGCCCCATTGGCAATCCCACCTCATCTGCATCGACCAGTCGCAACATTTCCTTGATCCCTTTCGCGCTGCCATCCCTGGCAGTGCCGTATCCTGTCATGTCGAATCGACGTGCTCTGACCTGCCCTGTCAGCCTGTCAGCCTGTCAAAATCTCGGGGCGACACCGTGCACACCTCCAACTGTTCCATCACGGTCGGAGCCTTTGCTCCCTTCCTTCGGCTCGGTAGTAAGGCTGTAGGGCTAAAGCGTATCTGTGGCCGGGCAGGGCCTCGGACGTATCTCACAGCACGAAACAAGATGGGCTCGCAAGGCTCGGCAGCACCAGCTTGCGGTCCAATGCCTATTGCTTCCGGCCACCTTGACACGTCCGAGCGTGCTCAAGTGCTGACCGACGCCCACGGCTGCGCTATCTACCTGCGGTGTGGTACGCGGTGCAACTCCTCGCGATGCCATGCACGCACAGTGCCCTCATGCCACGAGGTTCTTAATCCCCGAAGTACATACGCCAAACGCCACCGCCCGCAATCCACTGCCAGTGCCAGTGCCGGTGCCAATGCCAACGCCAACGCGAACTACTGCACCAGCAGCATCAGCCGCAAAGTCTCACAATCCAGCTGGCTGACAGACATGCCATGCGAGTCGAGCAGCACAACGCATGTAGGTAGGTGCCGTGCGACTCGATTCTCAACGGCTTCTAACGCCATGTGGGCATGGGTGGGTGGGAAGCTGGCAGCTGGCAGCTGGCAGCTGGCAGCGGGCAGCGGGCGACCCTGCATCAGCCCAGGCCCGCGTGTCCTTTGAGTCTAGATCCCAGTCGATCCCAGTCACCACCCCGTACGTACGGTAGGGGAGACTCTTTCCTTCTTCTCGAACTTCATGCTTCGATTGCGGAGATTTGGAACTTTCAGCTTTCAGCCCCCAACCCACTCTTGCCCCGTCCCAGATCCACCTTGGGACATCATGATGCGCTCCGGGGCGACGACAGAATCCGCCTCGACTCCTCGCCTCGGGCTGTTGATGTTGAGTCTGTTTCCAGTTGATGGAGTCGCGCTGCATCTTCAGCGCCATAACATGTCGTGCAGCATTCCGAGTTCCCCCCACGAATCCCGGATGGACTTCACCACACCCACACACTCGTCTTGATAACAGGACAGGCTGGACAGCCCACGGATGGCAAATCATTGGCAGAGTGGGACAGCCAGATCCTTGCTCTCCCGTCTCTCTCTGTCCAGTACTCCGTACACAGACCTGACAGACACCATCCACCCCAAACACACCGCCCCAATTACCCGTTTCCCTCGATGCAGCCTGCAGGTCATGCCGCCCCGGGCCTGTCAGATTGCATCAACGCCCGCCCCGGACTTCTATGTCCGTCACCGCAGGCCCAAGTCAGTGGTGGTGGTGATCCCGGCAAGGCAAGGGGCCCCATGCCTGCGGCAGCCCCGGTCAGTCAGTACCACAGGCGCCAGAGTTCATAGGTAACGGGGGGTAGAAAGGTCTTAACAGGGGGTGGAAAAAGTAGGTCTAACAAAAACTTAACGGAAAATAGGCTCGAATATATAGTAAATTTATACCGATAGAATATATATATTAAACCCCTTATCTTCCATAAAAAAAACTATATACTTTCCTCTACTAAACACCTAAACTACATACAGTATATACCTATTATAATATCTTATAATATTAGTCCTTTTAAAAGTATAGATTTTAAAAATCTAATATTAGAATATATTATATATATATAATATATAAGTATATAAAATACTATAATAGTATAATTAAATAATCTAGATAAGAATAATAATAGTAAAATAAAAACTTAATAAGTTATATAGACTTTAAGTTAGACTTAATATAATATTATATATAGACTTTAATTTAATATATATATATTTAATATATACTTTATATATATTAACTATAAATAGACTTTTATTAAGGATTTTAAATTAATAGTTATAAGTAATAAATAGTTTATAATAATTATATAAAAGTTTAAAATCTTTTAATTATACTTAAATATCTTTATATAAGTCTTTATAGGATTATAAGTATTATATATATTATTAAACTTCTATTTTAACTTAATTATATAATAGATAAAATTTAAGAAGTGTTTATAGAGATTAAGAATATAATAGGTATATTTATAATATATATTATATATATATTAAATATTCTATAAATATAATTTAATATAGAAAGGTTATTTAATAGAAGCTTAAAGGTCTTTAAGACTTATTTAAAGTTTTTAAGTATAGTTTACTTTTATTTATACTATATATATATTATATATATACTAATAAAATACTTAGTTTTAATTTAATTTATATATTTATATATAATATATAATATTATTATAATAGAATTTAAGTTTATAGTTATATTAATAAGTTTATTATTACTCTATACTTAGTATATAATTAGGTTAATATTAAATATATATAAGATTTTAATATTATTTTAAATAAAAGGTTCTATTTAAAGATATATAGGGTCTTTTAATAAGAAATAAAGAAATAATATATATTATACTTATAATTAATTTATATTATATATATATAGTAAATATTAAGTATTAAAGTAGTAATAATAAAAGAAAGATATATATCTATATACTATTTATTAAGATAAACT